TGCATATAAAATTTCAAGGACCTACAGATGATCTATCAAAAATTATCGGTGCGGGGATACTTTTGTCGGGCACTGTAATTGTCGCGTTTCAATTGAGCTCAACAGTAAAAAATTTATTCTCGTGTAGTATTAAATGAAACCGGCTGTGATAAACCAGGATTTATTTGTAAATTTGACTCGAAAAAAATAATTATGCAAGTCTTCACCAACACTCGTTATTCTGGAACCAGTCCAGTATATTTGGGTTTGAGGATGGAAAAATTGTTAGTCAACTTTTACAAGAATTTTTGTGTCAAATATTGGAACATGACACAAGTTACGCTGGAAATGGATTTCAGTCAAGTCTAGTAAAAAATTCACGAAACCAATTTTTCAATTATTACATCTCAAAGGGGTATGGAAAATATAAAAAACTGGTGCTTCGCCTGCAGCTGCACATGATCAAATTATTCAAAAAAAAAGAAAAAGTCACCATGGTGTTCAGTTATGAATTGGAATGATCTTGCAATTATATCAACTTTTTTTGAGGAAAAAAAAATACCATACAAAATTTGAATTAGTACGAATTTTTTCTGAAATGGAAAATTAAAAAATCAATGTAGTGTCAAACCTGGCTTGGATATAACAAAATCCTTGATATAGCCAAAGAAAAAGACCTTGTGTTTTAAAATTATCTCTATATAGCGAAGTTTCATAAGGAAACTCGATATAAAGAAAAAATTCCCAGCTCAAGAGGTTCGTTATATCGAGGTTGACTGTAATCGGATTTTTTATACCATTAATACATATATATCCTTTCCAAATCTCACGTAAAGGTAAGCTATCAATTTAACTTTCTGTTTGATTATTATTTATTTCAAAATCAAATTTTGTTGGAATTCTGGACCCATGTTCGTAATTGATCCTACACCTGATGCCGATCCCTCGAGATTAAATATGGTGCACGTCATCTAAAAGTCATCAAACATTTATATTTTATAAAGTGTATAAACTTCTTTACTAAGAAGTAAATACAAAATTTAATCCGTAAGTACCGTAGAATAAGGCCTATTCTACCACATTTACGGAGTAAATTTTGGATTTTCTTCTTAGTTGAGAAGTTTATACATTTTATAAAATAAATGTTTGATGACTTTAGATGGCGTGTACCATTCACCTAGTCTTGGCGAATCGAATGATGTCCTTTTCATCCGGATTGAACATATGGATCACGAGATATCACGTCCCAAGGTTACTGATCAATTTTTGCTTATAATTAAATAAATTATTAAATTCACATAGTTTTGGTAAATTCAATGGAAGTAATTTTGAAAAATACTTATTTTAATTTGGAACACTTAATTTTAAGCATGATATCTCATAATCCACTCAACCAAACTACCACTATTCCAATATAATTTAGTAAATATGTGACTTTATTTTTATCCAATTTGGTTAAGTGAATCATGAGATATTAATTTATTTTTAAAAAAAATGTGAAAAGTAAGAAAATTTATTCGATAACTTTGGACATTATATCTCACGATTCGTTGCTTCAATTCGGATAATAATATCATCTTTCAATTTACCAAGCAATAGTAAATCGATTTGTGTATTGTTTGTTCGGATTTGACCAGCGAATCGTGAGATATCATGTTTCAAATTTACCGGATAAAATTTTTTATTTTCCCCATTTTTTCGTTTTTAGTCAGATTTTTCCGGAACTAAAAAAATCGAATTTTTGCATTATGCTACACGGCACAGCACAGTAGATATAGTGTTTTGTAGTTATTATATGTTCCCCTAAATTGCACACAATTCTCCCTCTTTTTACTTGTGAGAGATACTATCTTATCTTAACGGAATTCAGGCTTTAGCTACTCTAAGAAATATGATAAAATCTTTTTCTGTATCTTTTGTTGTGCTCGTTCTATTTTCATAGCACAGCTTCCGCTGCATATTATAATATTGGACATTTCATGTTCATCAGTTTCTATAGCGGTTGAGAAGTTGGCCCTTTGGTTAGTGAAAATTTTGAAACAAAATTATTCAATATTACACAAGTGGCAAGAAAATATCTTGGTATCAATGTAACCTCGATATCTAACAAAGGGTCCTTTTCAGATTATAATTCACTAGGAAACCACTAGAAAGTCTGGAATTCTTTTAAAGGTTCTCCAAAATCAAACTCACTATTGTACCGAAACTTATCTATCTGTGAAATTCACAACTTATTACGTATTCTCATTATTAGCATCCAAGCACAATTAAAGTTAAATATAATGAAATATTCGTATATATAGCAATATATATTAAGTCTTGCTGTATTCTTAATTCATATGATAATATATAAATTTTCTTCTCATTATACTGATAATCTTAATAAATGATATTTTCAAAATTCTACATGTTACAACTGTACCATTATGTCTAAATTTTACTGTAATAATATAGAGATTAATAGACTTTGTTTGGCCTAAAGAACTTATAATTAGTGTTGGTGAGCCAACGGGTTGGAATATTGGACTAGTGTTTCATTGAGAATGTCCATTGCTCCCCATTTTTCCATTGGTTCTGTATAATCACTGGAACTTGATTCATTGGCAACACTGACTGGATCAATGACTTATTACAGTGTGCGCTGGATACAATAACGTGATCGAGGAAGAGATTTGGTGTTATTATATTGAGAAGTTAATCTATCGAAAAAAAATAAATATTATGAAAGCTTATTACAGTAATGAGATCGGGGGAAGAGATTTTGTGTTAGTATAACGTGATGTTATCTTAAAGCGTGTTGCTGTAACGAGCGTTCACCGTATTACAATGAGAACCACTTAATCCATTGGTAATTGTAAATATATGCAAGCTGTGCCGCAATAAAACATGGACCAAAGTTCATTGGCAGCCCATTTGTCTAGTATAATCACTGAACCTGGTCCATTGGCAACACACAGGGCAAAAAGTATTATTTTTACTTGGTTAATCTCAAGGTTAAATAATTGTGAAAAATGCAACTTTATCATTTTTTACCATTGTTTTGCTTCAATATTGCCCAGTCAAAATAGATATTTTTGACCAGTGACTCCTTACAATTATCCTGTTTGAATTAGCTAGAGTGGTATAAATTGATGGCGTGCAAATTTCCCAATTGCTTATCAATTTCGGATAGTTTCGGATTTATATGGTGAAACGTTTTGGATTTTGAGAAATAGTTTCGCCCGAAAAATTAAACCTAATTAAAACTATTTCCTTAAACTCAATTTATAATTTTCAAAAATGATTTCAACTTCTTGGTCTTCATTATTCCAATATATGTGTAAATGATAAAAATGCTAGCTCTTCCATCTAAAAACTATTTTTGAATCGGCTAATGGTTTCGTCATTTTGCAATTTATATGCTGACTTAAATATTTTTATAATAATCTTAAAGAACATATCCTTTATAATAATATTCCAGCAAAAAATTAATTTCGTCACACTTATTATAGGCTAAAACAATTTCGTCAAAAGTTTCGTCATCTCGTGTTCCTCAATAATTGTAGTTTAAGAAATAATCATAGCAAAGCTACTATAGTCAGAGCTCGATCTACCGGTGAGCCGATAGGTATCACTAAAAGAGAATACTAACAGACATCGCTAAATTGAGCGCGATTTCTATATAGTGATCTAGGTACAAGAGTCGTTAACTCGCGATTTCATTAAATCGAATAATCGTCAAACGAGTCCTGACTGTAAATTCAGAAAATACCATAAATAAGAATGAAGTAAATTATTCCTCATTAAAACAGCAACAGACAAGATTGAAGATCAAGTCATAAACTAGCAACATGAACAAAAGCATTTTAATGGTATCAATATTTGAAAGCGGCAAAATCTAGAGATCTCGAGCACGGTAATCTTGCTCTCTGTTACAATAATAGATAAGTAGCAATCAAAGATGATTTGAAATCTCCAGAGTCTGACCATCCTCTTTGTTACAAAAATGGATGGAAAAGGAATAATAAAAAATGAGCCAAAGCATCCGAGTGGTATTTAAAAGTAAAGGAATCTGGAGTTCCTCAAGCACAAAATAAGCTTGGAAGCTGATACAAAAATAATACGAGTGGTATTTGAAAGCAGCAGAGTCTGAACTCCCCAAGATTAAGCTTGCTCTTGTTATGAAAATGACAATCAAAAATAAATAGAAAACATAGCGATAGATTTATTATCGTTATTAAATCTGCAGATCTGAGAATGATCTAACTCGAATATTTTTGTGAAAAACATGAAGATTCTCTTGCATTCAGTAATTTTCGGCTTGGAGAAAGAACGGAAATGGCTGAATCTTTCAATTTTGAAGAAATCAATTCAGATTGATAGTTGAACATTCCTTGTTTTTTAAAACTTTGAATTAACAAAATCTTTTGAATCGCGCTTTAATAAATATTTTATGTAAATATTCTTATTCGTGGTGTTGCTTTCCATCCAAACTGTGTTTGTTTTGCTTTTAATCTTTTTCAATATTATTCCATAACTGCGTTTCATTTTAATGACTGAGATAAAGGAATCATTGATACATAGATGTCGCTTTTGTATCAACTGGTGTATTTTTTAATCCAGAAATTTTATAACTAGACCTGTGGTTTTTTGGAACTAAAAAAACTGGAATTTTTGCCTAATATTTTTGTTATAGGACAGGATCTTATTAGTATTATATTTGAAGTAATACAGAGGTAATTATATTTAGAGAATATATTATATAGAGAATTTTATATTGTATTTACATAAGTTTTGATAAATTTTTATATAATGAATTAATATCTAAAATAAATTCCATTAACTTAGTAGATTTATTAATATAATATATAAATATATAAATTTTAAAATGCGAAATTTTCAAATAAAATATATAGACAAATCTTCCTAAATGCACAATATAACTGGATTTCAGTTCATAAGAGCTCTATATATTTTTCTCTTTATAAATATATACACTATCTAAATACATGCTTTATTATAATTTCAAGAGAAAAGAGTTATATTTGAAGAGATTTGTCTGTACTAAAAAAATACTACAAAAAAATTTTAGTATTATTAAAATATATATGAAAAATTAATAATTATATAAATGAAAAATAGCAAATAAATATAAATTAAGATAAAACAAGTTTGTAAATAAAAAAGTAAAAAATGAATTAATATATATAACTTTATATATTCAATAGCTTAATATTGGTACATGTTCTAATGTATATCTTAAGAACAAACTTTTAGAAACTAAAATAACTGTAATCTGATTTATAATTGGTGCAAATGCTCGTAAATTAACCAAAAAAACAAGAATTTATTACCTTATATTCAAAAATATACATATTATTACCTGAAATTATCTTGAAAATCAATAATAATAATTATTATTAATGAACTAAATATAATTATTCTTTAAAATTAATTACAAATATAAATAAAATAATTATATTATTTAATTTATCAAATTAAATAATCATTAAAAAATATGAAATATAACCTATTTTAATTTTACAGCAGATTATAAATATACAAATTTATTAGAATTCTTATTTAATTTGCAGATAATATTAAATTTCTATCTTTTATTATTTTTAAAGATATATTTATTTATGTAAATTTCAATAATTGATTAAATAAAAGAAATTATTTGGTAAATAGATAAGATATAAAGTCAATAGGCTAATTCAAATTCATGTTTATTTCTTGTTCTTGACTTACTTGCTAATTATATAACAAATACTATTTAATAAAAAATATTAATATAAAGTTATTTCTGTAAATTAGTTATATATTTATAATTATTAGATATATTCTTAAATAAAGAATATATAGTAACAGGCAAAATTAAATGATTAGTATATTTACTAGTAGCAAATTGAGTCAAAGAAGCTTGAAAAGCAATTAATTTTACAATTATTTAATGTTGTGAAATTTCAACAGATATAAATAACTCAGAAAATAGTTTAATTTTTGAATTGAAAGTACAAGCAGAAAGAGATATCAAAATTATTATTGTAAAAGAGCTGAAAATTTTGAAAATAATATGAATAAAATTAATTTGAAAATTAGATAGTATAAACAGGAGGAGGAAAGTAATGTTAATATTTGGAACTAAATATTTTTTGTAATAGAACAATTTAATAATGACAATATTTATTAGTTTAACTTTATCTTTTAATAATTTGATATTATTTATTAATCATAAAGTTGTTAATAGTTTGTTAATATAGCACATTATTTTTTAAAAATATATATCCGGATACTAAAACATGAAAAGTATTATTTTTAAATAGTGATAGTTTAACAGAAGCTGAGTGTATTAAACATAAGTAAAACTTTTTCTATATATGAAAAAAAATTGGCTTTTTGATTGATTTGAAGAGAGTTTCAATTGACATAATTTTTTTAAGTTGATTATTTCGTCTGATTTGTTTTTGACTGAAGAAATTGCTTAGATTTGTTAAGAGATAAATCATAAATATATTCTTATTAGTGTAGTACACAAATTACATGTGCAGTAGATTGATTGATAAATAACTATTTTAGAATACAGACTGTATCAATATACAAAATTTCTATCACATAAAAACAATTTAGCCACATCTCAATCTTGTAATTTTATTTTCATCTCTACTATTTAGATAAATATTCAATCTACAAGGACAAAATTAAAACAATGAATAAAATTAAAAATAAAATATCTTACCTTTCTGGATTAATTCCTTGAGTAATGAGATCACCAGGATATATTGTTCAATGATTTTTTTGGAATTCACGTTGATAAATGAGCTATTCATACAATTATAAACAAAATTATACTAAGCAAAATATTACACTTAATTTTAACAAGATGTTATCTAAGTTCAATTACCTAATACAGCGAGACACCTTCAAGCAAGCGGATTAATTATTAAAAGTTTTCTCAATCAAGTCGTATTGGTATTCATATTTATATCTACGTGTTTCACCCGACAATACTGGTGCAGACAATGTGAGGAGCAATATGAAAAAAAAATTGGTGATGATTTTGGTATAAATAAGTGCGTTTTAAACTTTTTTTGTTTTAGGATAATTAGTTTCTTCTTTATATCTATCTTATATACTTGAAAAATAGAATAATTTATCATTATACGTATCCAAGTAAATATTTATGAGATTTTTATCTATCGCAATAATTCTTAATATCAATATACACATCAATGATAATTAATATTTGAAATGCATAAAACGAAAAAGGTACATGTAATATTGATATGACAGTAAATTCTAAAATACTCAACCAGTTTACTTTTCAATAACGTAAAAAAAATTTTTATGTTATAGTGTTGCAGATAGTCTAAAAATCACCAATAAAAATATCTACTGTTACTTGATTGTTAATCTGGTTTTTTTACATATATCAAGGTAAAAATAGATTACAATTATAATATTCATAACGATAATAACAATTATTTGTTAATATGAAATGCTATAATTTTTAGCTTGATACAAATAAGATTAACGGACTAGTAAACTCTAATGCTAATGTTAATCTAAAGCAAAAACAAAAACAAGTAAGGATTTTAATGATATTATTGCTAAAGTTCTAAATTAAAAAATTCAAATTCTATGTTCAAAACAACACCTAACTGGTATCAATCAGATACAATCAGTTAATTTAATTAAAGCAAGATGGCGCACTAGAAAGGAACATTTAATCCTCAAATATAATAAGAAAAATTTAATATATATTTGTGCTAAAATGCTATACCAATATCTCAATATTAACATTAAGTTCAGACAATATTGATTTTAAATTTTAATGATAGTGCAAACTTTTGTTAAGGTAAAAATTTTTCTGAGTTTATTTACATTAATTGAGCCAAAAAAAAATTTAGTCAGATTCGATTTCTTCTCTTTTCAACTGATTTCTAAATATAGTTATTATTTGTTAATACTGTTATCATTAATTCAAGAATTATTAGAATTAATGAATTAACAAAATAATAGAACAGTGAAAGAACAAAGATAAAAATAGAGGTAGAGAAAGAAATTGAATAATAAAATAAACTAAACTAAATAAAAATAGAATGGTTATTAAAGAAATAACAGAATTTATTGAGAATGCCTAATAAAATAAATAACAATTGGACTTATTGAGAATGCCAATAAAGAAAATAAAAATCAAATAACTGAAAATAAAATAATCAGAACTTATTGATATGATCTAAAAATAATAAAATCAAAATAAATAAAAATACTAATATCAATGGCTTTTTAGAGTGGAGAAACATCCACTAATTGTAATCAAGATTTAAAGATGATCAAGAAAATATAGTGTATTCACAAGTATTTATTACAAGAACTTTGTTATTTTTATTAGATCAGAGCATGAGAGTTTCAAAAAGGAAGTGATATTCACAAATTTTATTACATAAAGGTAATTGTGTAATGTCAAATAAATGTTAAATTTGATCAAATTATGTAATATGAATATCATTGGATGAAATTATGATATACCATACGTAATTTGTGTTATCATAAAAATTATGGGGTCACGAAATTTTTGTTGGGAATGGTAACACTACGTATATCTACTAGAAAGATTATCAAATACATGTACATGTAATTGAATTTTGTTGCACTGTCAATTCTAACTTTAATAGAAATAACTGAACCAATTAATTGGTATTTAACCGGCCGCCCAATCTCGAATGCATAATGAATTATAGTTTTCATATCATTCCAATGATTGTAACCAAAGCAGACCGAATCGAAACTAGATTATTATATGGACTAGTGTTATATGTCACACTTTAATTGACACATTCTATTGATATTTTTGACGTTCATCTCTAGCATTTATTCATTGCTATGAAATCGGAACAGAAACTAATGAACATGAAATGTTCAAGTATTATAAATGTGCGGCGGGAGCTGTGTTATGAAAATAGAACGGGTACAAAAAAGATCCAGAAAAGCATTCATATTTCTTAGCCGGATTTTGTTAAGGTAATGAATATCGCTAAAAAAATTGGCTTTTTAGTTGATTTGAGGAAAGCTTTTATTGTCATCGTAATTCCTAATAATTCGTCGATAATTGCATAAATTTTTTAAGTTGATCATTCCGCCCTGTTAGTTTTCGATTGAGAAAATTATCTGATTTATTAAGGGATAGGTACAACGCACAACATATTTATTAGCGTTAGAATAATATCGGGATTTAATTTATATTTATTGATGATGTTAACGTTAAAGATAAAAATACAAATTACATGTACAGCAGATTAATGAATAAATATTTAGAATATATCAATCTATTTTTCAAGTATATAACAACAGAAAGAAAAGGCGAAGAAACTAATTATCCTAAAACAAAAAAACAGAAAAAAGTATTCAAATTGTTTGAAACGCACTTATGTATACCAAATCACCGCCATATTTTGTGTTTTGTAAATTGTAAATTTTGAATGTATATTATTTAAAATTGTAGCGATAGCATTACGATTTGATTCTCTTGATACTGTAAAAGCTATTATCGTTATTTGTTGAATCGAAACCTTAAAAGGTGAAGCATTTCGGTCATGACTGCTCCGTCATGACACCATGACAAATCAATTCCAAGATTCGCTATAACGATAACGATAAGTTAATCACAGTATTTGATTGGCTAATCTAGGACGTAGTAGTAGCCGTGTACATGAATATGTAATACACACGTATACCAATCTAATTAGGTAATGTTTTGACGTATATTTTATACGTAAAAAGGTTTCTGATGTTTTTTTGTGATGAATAATTAAAAAATGGGATCTGCTACTCTAGATGTTTTATTGAAGAGGAAGATGGAAACATGAAGTTCCGCATTATCGGTGGTAGACGATATCATAATACTTCGAATTCAGAGTATTTTGGTGCGAATGATGATGCGATGAAGAAGCTGATCGTTTAATTAGATATCAAGATGGTAAAAAGATTTTGCTTTAATATCGGGTTTTCTTTATCGAAAAGTTCACGATTTACAATAATATATAAAATTTTAGCAATAAAAGATATTTGGGGAGGATTGTTTCATTTACCTGTTAAAGAGAAGGAGCTCGTGTTATTGATTTAGGGTATGCATTTAGGTTATAGATGTACTTTATTATAAATACCTGAATTTTAAAAACTAATAAAAGATGTGGAACTGGAACTTGGATTTTGGTAAACGGATTTTTATTTTCTTTCTTAGAAATGGCTATACTTGATTACTTTAAATCGATATATTAATTCGTAAAAAATGGGATATGGCAAGACAATATCCTAATTCAAGTTTGTAGGAATAGACCTTTCTCCGATTTTTCCAACCGAAGGTTTTCCGTTAAATGTGGAGTTTATCCAGTATAATGTGTTGGATGTATTACCATATGAAGATTCGTCTTTCGATTTTGTTCACGAAAAATTCATGGTCAGTGCTTTTACGGAAGAACAATGGAAAAAGAATGTTATCCCAGAAATAATAAGATTAACTCGACCAGATGGATGGGTCGAGCTCTTAGAACGCGATACTTTCATTATATCTGATGGGAATGCGACAACTAGAATTGCAAAAGCTTGTAAGCAAAGCTATTTTTTGTATCTTTAATTAAAATAACAGATTTTAATTAAGTTTGATTTAGTCAAAGATTTCATGAGGTCGAGGGGAATGAACTCTATAATTGGTAAAGAGATTCCGCGTCTTCTTGAAAACACAAACGCTTTTTTGGAAATCAGAAATCAACAAAAAACTATTGTTTAGGTAAAAAAGGTGGTAAAACTGGGCAAGAGGTAAATATGAAATTAATGATTTTATGCACAAAAATATAGTATTATAAGCTTAAGATAATACTCTTTACTTGCACACAAAGACTCTAAGATTTGTTACTTTTGGTCTCGCCGCTTGCAAAAGCGTATCGGACAGTATGAATATAATGCCGAACATTTCGATGCTCTGATAGAAACAATCTCTATTGAGGCAGAAAAAACTACTTCTTATTTTAATCAATATCTAATTTGTGGTCATAAGAAGATTTGAAATTGATATATATCGATATCGTAACATATGACTTTGATTTTTAATTCTTATTATTATATGTTCATAATTTTTGATTTCACTATTAATATTAATATTTATATATATACTGAATATGACAAAAAACTAAATTACAATCAAATCATCAAAGTATCGTGCAATATTGGAAATAAAACATTTATATGCCCTGCAAAAAAATAATCAGGCAAAAAATCCGAATTTTTTATTTCCACACTTTCAATCCAGACAAAAATGCCCCATTCGATTCATCTAGCCTTTGCAAATAAAATGGTGGTATTTTCATCCGGATTGAACTTTGGATCACGAGATATCGCGTCCCAAAGTTACTGGATCAATTTTTTGCTCAAAATTATAATAAATACATTATTTCCAAACACACTATCATTAAATTAACCTAGTATTGGTGACAATGATAGTAATCCAATTTGGTTAAGTGAGTCATGTGATTTTAAAAAATGGGGAAAATAAGAAAATTGTCGAGTAACTTTGGGATTGATATCTCATAATCCACACACAATAATATCACCATTCGATTCATCAAGGCTTGGTGAATTGAATGTGCATTTTTTTGTCTAAATTGGATCAGTGAATCTTGTCCAAAAGTTATCAGGTAATTTTTTTATTTTAATCTGAAATTTTATAATTAAACCTGAACTAAAAAAAACCAGCTTTTTTTTGTATGGGTGATGTCATTTAAATACGAATGTGTATATTTGATATTTAATATTTGAAATAAAATGTAAATGATATGAAATTAAAATATCTAAATAAATAAAATATAAGATAGCTATAGGTAAAATAACGTAGTATCCTAAAATGACGAATTTATAATAATTCATAAGTTGATTATTCATTGCTCACTTAAAAAATAATTCTCCTTGCCAGTTTGAACATCAACTAAAGTATACTTTTTAAGTTTTTCAACATCTTCATCCAATTCTCTTCTATCAATCTACTTCTTAATATTCCCGGGTGTTGGAGGAGAGAAATGGGTGAGGGTAAATGCATTATTTTAAAATACTGCATCATCATTTTACCTATAGCTACTTATACTACTAGGAAATGGATACCATTTATATGTCCAGAGCTAATAAATAATTATTTATTTAAAAATTAAATATAACGATAATTACATGTATTAGAATAAAATATTTAGATTTTTTGTGTTCAACCAATCAGGAGCATGAAAGCCGATGGACAGAGTTCGCACGTGATTATGTCGATCAAATAAGTACGTAGTAGAAATAGATTGTCCGGAGCGAAGCGAAGGACAAATTATTCGTTAGTAATTTTGCAAATTATAAATTATGCTAATTCTTATTTATTAATTACATAAGGGAAAAGGGGTATTCTGACGAAGTTAAAATCGTGATTAGGAAAACTTTTTACAGATAATACAAATATTAGTATATTTATTATGGCTAAAAAGCCAACTCAATTATCTATAATTCTATCTAAAATTACAAGTAATAAAAGGAAAAAAATGATCATTTGTGTGCTACATTCAAATGCTAATTTTGTGGGGGTGGAGGCATTTTGACGAAGTAAAGAAAATATGCAATCTAGCGCTCGGGATCGCATGAAAATACCACCATTCGATTCGTCATGTCTAAACAAATCGAGTATCGAGATATCGCCTGTATATTATATCTTTTCCATTTATATTAAATTTTAGCATACGGTGATTTTCAAGGAAGATATCTCGATGCCCTGCTATCGAAAATCACATGAAAATACCACCATTCGATTCGCCTAGACATGATGAATCGAATGGTGGTATTTCATGTGATTTTATTGCAGGGTATGAGATATTGCCTTTAAATTGACGAAAATCTGATATATGATGATTTTCAGTGCGATATCTCGATAACTAGCGATCGGAATCGCATGAAAATACCACCATTCGATTCGTCTAGTCATGACAATCGAATGATTGTATTTTCATGCGATTCTGATCGCTAGTTATAAAGATATCGTTACTTTGTCATAATTCCTTTTTCGTCAAAATACCCCTTTTTACCTTATTACTGTAAAGCACTGACTATAGTATCCTCTCTTGTAAAAAATTTAATCCTAATTAAGATAATCAGTTTACTGAAAATTGGACTAAATTAATGGTTAAATTTCTACAAGTGGGATCTCTAGTCAGCGTTTTACGATAATTGGACTTAAAGTAAAATAAACAAATAAACCGTCGCTCTTCAGAAAAGAATGATTTAAAATGGTTGTAACTATATGAAGGTCAAATTTTCTATAGCTGAAACTGGATTTCATTTTAAATATTATAACATCCAAAAAGATACCTTTATTTTAAAAACTCGAGTTTTAAAAAAATCTCTTTTGGATGATAAAATGCGACTAGAGGGTTCGAGCTGTACAATGACATGTAGTTTTTTGTTAATTAGGATTATGCATCAAGAAATTAAATCATAAATTAGGCCAAAGCACATGACTTTAAGTCGAGTTAAGGCATTAGCACCATACAGTCACGTTTTTTATAGTGGACTTCCTTTATAATGAGGACTAATTAAAATCCCGATAACGTATTTTCAATAAATTCTGTTCGATATAGTAGGTTTACTAATTAACTCCCGATATAGTGAACCTTTACTAATAGATTTTTTGATACATTATAAAGTAAGTCACTGTATTTAATATTATAAAATCAATTGTATCGCGTCCCATTTCAACCAATCAAAATATATCACGTGATTACATGGTGTATTATAATATAAAACTTCTAAGGTCTTGGGAGATGCGGAAATATTTGGATTTGTTTGGCATAATTTGGATTCAAATTTTTACGAGTCTGTAATTTATGACAGGTTAAATAACAATGATATGTTAATCAATAAATACAAATACCTTTCTTTGCCATATAATTGGTGCCCCGACTAAAATCAACCATTTAATTGGTTAATAATTGGTACATGGTTAAATGACAAATGACATCATTATGATACATGTATAATGATATGTCACATGAAAATAGCATTGCATTGACATTTGCTCAATAGATTAACAAAAAAGGTATCTAGGTAGCCTTAGCCCTATACAACATGAATACAAAAGAAATAAAATTAAATAATTTATTTCGAAAGAGATAACTTATCGCATTTTTTATCGATTTTCTACCTAATAGAAAATTTTAAACAAGCAAGAATACACTCTAGATTTTTATGTTTGATATTTAATGGCTTTGATTTAACACCATCATAGATCTTAATTAGGGATGCTAAACGGTTCGGTCTGGACCGATTGACCTTCGATCATAAAACGATTTAACGGCAAAGCTGGTTATAGCGATGCCTTTTTATAACGATACTTTTTTGTGTACGAGCATATCGTTATAACCAGATTTGATTGTATATGAGTAATGGAGAATAGACATGCAAAAATAATTCGGAAGGCTGGAAAGTATAATTGTCATTAGAAGTGGCGTTTGGTTCAGTATCATAGGTCTTATGCCGAGTCGGACTGGACGACCAATTAACAACCCTAATCTTGATAGAAAGAAGGTGAAAAATGCATCGTAATGCTTTTTTGGATGTAAGTTTGCAAAAATTTAATCAAAAGCTTCTATTTATACTATTGTAATTCTAAGTATTAGAAATATGCGAATTATAACGAGCTCATGTTAATGATACTTGACGATGACGAAACATTTCGTCACGAAACCTTTCGTCACGAAACCTTTCGTCACGACCACTTTGAAAATGTCTGTGACGAATGACGAAACCTGTGACGAATGGCGAAACCTGACAAAACCTTCTGACCAATAAAATACTAGTTGATGCCTGACATTTTTGTAAATGAACGAATGCGCAAAATGCATACATGTATTTAAATATAAATACGTAATACATGTACATGTACTGGTACATCTATTGATTTTCACGAAACCTTTCGCCATTTTGGAAATGTAAGTGGCGAATGACAAATTGTCTGACAAATGACAATTTTGGCAAATTAAACAATAAAAACAATAGGTCAAGTCAAGCTTTATCAATCTATCGGTTATTTTTTACCAGAGGTATATATTTAAAATTATACACTTTTCATAATGCTAGCCAAAATTTAGCATAATTTTGATCGTTTATGGCCTTCAGCCAATCAAACACATGTACTAGATTTCTAATGAATTCGGAATAGTATATTTGTACATGTGATTTTAGCTATTATTTTGATTGGTCATAACGTTTCGTCATAGTTTCATCAATTATCATGTGATTATGCTATTATTTTGATTGGTCAGAAGATTTCGTCACTAGTTTCGTTACTCGTCACAGGTTTCGTCAATCGTCAGGGTTTCATCTAACGAATGACGTGACGAAATGTTTCGTCATCATGAAAATAGTTTCGTCAGGTATCATTAGCTCATGTTCAAAAAAGGATAAGTTGACAAAGCATCAATGCCTAAACAGACATCAGCAGTTACTGTACATTATTAAGTTGAAAATTATTAAAGATTCCATGAATGTTTTGATTCAGGAATAATAGCACAAGAAATGACATGAAAAATTCAAACTTCAAACGAATTTTTACAAAAAAATTTATATACCATTTCTTTTTGTCTCGTTACATGTACGCTATATGTTGGCATATTCATCGAGATGAACTTGCTTCAAAAAATTAAGATACGACAATCACAATGCTTGCTAGAAACTTATCATTATAATGGAATTGAAGCGTGTAAACTACTTTTCGTTATCTGCAGTCAATGTAAGTTATTCATTATCCAATGGCTATAAGCGCAAAAAAACACAACTGCATGCCTTTGTGACTTCTCGATCTACTAGTGACACCCGGAATCACCGAAATTTATACTGCGAGACTTCCTCGTATTATTAAAAGCCGGTATGTAAATCAAAATTTGAATCGAAAAACTTCGGTTTAGCGCATTTTCGGCTTAGGATGATTTCATCTTAACGAGTTTGCCTTGTATAATAAGGCTACAAAATCGCACTTTACTATTTTACTAACTCCCAAAAAGGATTACATTAGCTAACGTGCAATACGTAAATAAAAAACATTGCTATTATTCAAATGCATCGATTGGTGATTAATTAATTAAATATGAAATCTATTTCGATTTTAATCACAAAAGCGTGTTAGTTCATTTTTTGCAATGCATATTATGCGCATACACATATGCACTAAGCTCAATGTCATTTCGCCATTGCATTAACAGTCGAAAATAACGACAATGGAAAAATAATAATTCTTGCGGCCAAATTACGTAACGATAATGCACAACAATAACAATTGCATGCATAATGCTTTAAATCAAAGATTAACCCTACATTTACATACCAACACGTACGTATCTTTTTATGTGATTGTAAAAAAACGAGATTCAAAATAGCATAATTATTCTGACATCTCCCCTTTCCTAAACATCAAAACTTCAGCGGCAGCATAGTAAATTCTGAATTCAAGCATTATCAACGTAAAATAAACTTTAGTATTAAATTTATAGTCTTAAATACTGCAGTTAATTTTTAAATTCTTTGCTGAATGCTAATACATGTAGTACAAGGTAAACTCGATAAGCCGAAAATCTTAGGGAAGTTCCAAATACTGGCTACAAGACAGACTCGTTAAGACGAAATCATCCTAAGCCGGAAACATGCTAAACCGAAGTTTTTTCGTCCAAATTTTATATGTATATTCGGCTTAGCACGAAATTTAGTAATATGAAGAATTTGATAAGGAATTCTGACTTTACCCTGTGTACTGCAATTATCAAAGCGAGGTTTCCTTTAAATGAAACACATGCAAAAGTTAATGATAAAGTAAAATTACTTAACTATTTATAGTACAGCATCGAAAAGTTATTAAATAATTATTTTATGCTAATTCAAATTTTTATTGTTACTTTGATATTGTTCTTTATCTAAAAACCTCATGGCACACATTTTTCTAATAATTTTATTGGTGTCAATCGAGGCAATAGCATTTTAAGAGCATTTTCAAGAACATTTACAATAACATTCGCAGAGCATTTGCAAGAGCATTTACAAGAGCATTTACAATAACATTTGCAATAATATTCGTTCAAATTCTATTGATCGATATTGATTAATGACTACGTATGTGACCTTGCAAATCTATATGCTATAAATATATTTACATTATATCACTTCGTATATTGTATGTTATATACATTGTGCATTGAATATATAAATACTTCGAGTTATTAAATCCCTTTATTATATTCGCAATTTTGAACAGGAAAATCATGATACAGCCCGAAGTTATTAAATATTTGTTATATTATTGATGGCAGTATATACTTTACATTTTCATATTGAACAAATAATATCCTGCGTTTTCATTTACTTTTGTTATTGAAAACGCACGTAACAAATGTATTGGATATCGTGTTATATTTGCTTTGCAAATATGTTTAGAAAAAATTGTCATAAAAGAGCCCGTTTTTCTGCTTCAAGAAATTTGTGGCAATTAAGAAGTTAACCCACAATATGAAACCTGTTTATTTTGTTCCGCAAACAGGTTCTAATGAAAATATTACCGATAAAGAGATGGTAAAACAATGCTATGAGATACCATCACCAAACGACTTTGAAGACTTGAAAGGTAAATGCAGTCCCTTTTTTCTCTTTCGTAGAAAAGTTCATGAGGCAATTCAAAAAAGTGGAAGAGTAATAAGCGCCGGGAAACTTTCTAAACTTGCTGCTGAATTGTGGAAAGAAATATCTTTGAATGAAAAAAAGATATACAAGCGATTATCAGTCGCATTACTTCGCAGACACGTCGTTTGGGTAAATAGCTCTTCAACACAACAACCACAAACTCCAATTGCTAACGTGGCTGAACCCGAGTTTTTACAACCACAAACTCCAATTGCTAAAGTGGCTGAACCCGAATGTTTACAACAACCGCAAACGCCAATTGCTAACGTGGCTGAACCAGAACTTTTTATCCCTTCAATACAACAACCGCAAACGCCAATCGTTAAAGTGGCTGAACCCGAGTCTTTTATCTCATCAACACAACAGCCTGAAACACCAATTCCTAAAGTGGTTGAGGAGGAATTTTTTATCTATTCCAAAGTCGTTTGGGCAAACGAAGGAGCAGCGTTATTTGGATTGTCATTATATGCTTGCAATTTAAATGAAAACGAAATGAGTTTATGATTAATAAAATTATGTAAAATAAATAAGCAAATACATGTATAACTTAACGCTAATAAATGAATTTTAAGTCTAAAATGATCATTAATGTGACATAATACGTATGTACGTATGACTTTTATTAAAAAACGCGAAATAATATCAATATCGATATATCTAAAAAGAAGAGAAATTTTGTTGATCTAAAAATCGACTTTTTGACAGGGATATGTTATATCCAATTTTACAGTTGATGACAAAAATTCAGCCTTTCTGGATGCTGTGTATAATAATACTAATAATTACGCTCTTGAAAACTAATTTGATTGTTTAAAGATCAATACATTCAATCACGAGATAGCAGAGATAATGGAGATATCCATAATTTAAAAAATAAATATGTTAATATTTACGATTTTTAAGAAAATCTACCACTACATACGTATATCGCATAACGATGACAACATACATTTTTTTTTGCTCGATTATTGATCATATTAAAAATAACCACATTTTAAAATTTATATGTGCAGTATTTTATTTTCAAATATAATAAAAAACAAAATAATTTTTGTTAGTAATATTATCTTCAACTTTAAAGATAAAAACTTTAATAACTTTAAAGATAAAAACTTTAATTAATATAAGCTAAATGATTTAGTAATATAAATCATCAAAATTATTTGTAACAAAACATTCTAATGCTGCAAGTTAAAAGTTTGGTCGGTTTAAGTATATGTTAAGATAGAAAGTTTATAATCTAATGAAATTTGAAGATTCAAATTATAAAAATAACTTTAATTAATACATCAAACCAGGTTATTATTAAATTATTGCTTATAATAATACACAGTGAAAGTCGATATAACGGACCCTCCGTTCTTGCCATGCTGTCCGGTAAATCGACGGATCCGCTATAACAGACAAAATTTATATAATGTTATTTATAGCTGGTTTCAAAAAATAGTCCGTTATAGATCAAATCCGCTACGTATATCGATCGTCCGTTATATCGACTTTCACTGTGTAGCATTGAATTTTTCTCAGAACTACATAACGATAAGACACGGAGTTTTTTATAATAAATCAGAAATCATGTATCTATTTGATAAGTATGCTCTGCATTGTGACATAAGGCAAGATCAAAATTTTCAGCCACTCCACGTATATTACAATTAATGAAACCCATGCAAAAAATTAATGATAATGTAAAATTACTTAACCATTAATATAGTATACATTGAAAATATATTAAAGAATGGTATGCTATTGTAAATTTTTATTGTTCTTTGATTATTAGAAAAATGTGTGCCATACGGCTTTTAGATAAAGAGCAATATCAAAGTGCAATTTAGCATGATTTTATTGGTGCCAATCGAGGCAATAGCATTTGTAAGAGCATTTGCAAGAACATTTACAATAACATTTTGCAAGAGCATTTACAAAAGCATTTCCAATAACATTTACAATAACATGCTATACGATAAATCGATATTGATTAAATGTCTATGTGACTTTGCATAGTGATATTTACAATACTATACGCTAATGTCATATTATTGATGAGCAGTGTATATGATACTTTTCATATAGAACAAATACACTCTCTTGCGCTTTCATTCGCTTTTGTTATTGAAACGCACGTAAAAAATGTATTAATATTGTATTGGATACCGTATTATATTCGCTTTGCAAATATGTTTAGAAAAATTGTCATAAAAAGAGCCGTTTTTCTGCTTCAAGAAATCCGTGTCATTAAATTAAGACAATTCTTTCCACAATTATGATATCAACTCTTCATTTTATTCCACAACCAGGAATTGATGACAATATTCCTGATAAAGGGATAGTAAAACAATACTACAAGGCACCATCTCCAAATGACTTTAAAGACTTGAAACGTAAATGCAGTCCCTTTCTTCTCTTTCGTAAAAAGGTTAATGAGGCAATTCAAAAAAGTGGGAGAGTAAGAAGTGCCGGTAACATTTCTAAAATCGCTGCTGAATTATGGGAAGAAACACCTCCTAATGAAAAAGAGATATACAATCGATTATCTCGCCAAAACGTCGTTTGGTTAAATACTACTACAGTACAGCAACCTCAAACACAAATTGCTAAGGTGGTTGAACCCAAGTCTTTTAGCCCATCAATACAACAACCGCAAATGCAAATCGTTAAAGTGGCTGAATCCGAGTCTATTACCTCTCCAATACAACAACCAGAAACGTCAATTCCTAAAGTGGATAAGCCGGAATTTTTTATATATTCCAAAGATGTTTGGACAAACGAAGAGTCAAGGTTATTTGGAGTGCCGCTATGATTGAAATTAAAATTTATGATAATAAGAATTTATTTTAAATAGATAGTTAAGCAAATATATACTGTAATTCAACGTCAATAAATAAATTTGAAATATTTAAGGATACAATATGAAAAAAATAATACATGTATAAACAAATTATTTACGTATATACATGTACGTAATACACTGACCTACGATAAATCAATATGCATTATTCATTATCTTTATAGAGTAATGGTTTACTTTGTTTTTATTTTCTCTTTTTACATTTTTTCGATCTTTTATTTGTATGTGAAAACACTCTCTAGTCACTCTTCTTTCTATTCATAATGTCCTTACCACGAAAGAATTCTCCTCAGAACTTCGTGAACAAATAATTGGTGCTTATCATATGGAGAGCAATGCTTCAACTATTGCCTCTACCCTCGCTATCCTAAAGCAAACAGTACGTGATACAATTAATTGTTTAAGAAAACAGGTTCGCCGCATCCTGTAAAACGCACTGGACGACCAAAAATTTGTCAGGACGTGATAAGTGTATTGTAAAAAAAATTATTTATTGAAATTACCAATCAACTAAATGCATATATTAATACTTCAATTCACGCTAATACCACTCGTAATTACATGAAATTTTTAACGTTTGAATCTCACTATGCAAGCCATAAACGCTTTTGACTACTCAACATAAAAAATCGTTTATAATGGTGCAAAGAAAAGAAAAACTGGAACGGTCAGATGAATTACGATTTCAGACGGACGTAAAAGAGTATGGTGAAAAAATTTTGAAAAAAGCCTAGAAGGTTGTGTGATTTCAACAGTAGAATTTGGTGGAGTATCGGTAATGATTTGGGGATGTATTGGATGGGATGGTGTTGGACCTTTGGTAGAAGTTAATAAAAATCTTGATTCTGACAGCTATCTTAATTTTCTTTCCAAATATTTGGTTCCTTGGATGAATAATCATTCTTATACAAATTTTCAGCAAAATGGTGCTTCCTATCATACTTTGTATTATATTCGTTGGTGGATGCAAACATACAGTATTCTAGTTTTAAAATGAGCTGCCAAAGTCCCAATTGGAATCTAATTGATCATTTAGATCACCAAATTAGAAAAAGGAACCCTTTCCGACCCCAAAAAAGGATTAATTGAGGTATTGAAGGAAGAATGGCGAAAGTGACTTTGGATGTTGCACGCAATTTCATTTCCAGTATGCCAAGTTGTTATTAAAGCTAAAGAATTGTATACACATTAATAGATTGTTAATATTTTTTAGATAATTATTTTATAACTTTTTCTCTCTTTCTGTTCATATATTTTTAAAATATCGTTATTAAGTAAAATTTAGTTTAAATAAAAAAGAAGCTATAGCACTTTTTAGAATCAGAAAATTTTGCCAATAATGCACGGTGATTTGGCAGAACTTATACAAATACGTGAACAATACCGATACGTATTATTTCTTATCGTTATGTTTAAAGCATAAATACTATCTCTGTCAAAACTATAAAATTCAACAACCGATTATTGACATGCATGGGACATGTGATGAAACTTGTCCACGTGGACAGTTGGACAAATGTCGCCTAATCCCTCAAGTTTTGATTTGTTGAGGATATTAAAGGTTAGTTTTAGCGTTAGTATTAAGGGTTATAGATAGGACCAGAGGAAGGGTTATATGTAAAATTGTCTTTCCAACATTTTTTATTAGTGTTTCAAGCCAGGTTTACCCATTCGTTTCCGTATTTTGCACATTATTTTTCACACTATTCGCCTTTTTAATTTTCTTGTGTCGGATTTGTTTTGCCGAGTTATCAAAAATTTATGCATCTTTATTGGTTGATTTAGAAGATCCTGTGTGCAGTCAACCAATCAGTGATGGATATTACTTGTATCCAATCAAAATTTAGGGGAAATTAGTAAATGCGTTTGCAATATACCGATACGTGATAAAGTATCGATTTAATCCGTAACATATAATATACTACTGATTAAATTCTTGTGCAAAATATATTCAAATAGAAACAAATAATAACACCAGTGAAATTTATTATAATCTCTAATCCAAACTTTTAATCATTATCTTCTATATAGATCCAAATTCTAATTAGAATTTGGGGCAAAATAGTTGTCCAAATTGACAATTACCAATTGATATTTTGGGTACAACATATACTAATACATCATTACGAAATTCTAAAACAGGTTGGCAATCAATTGTCAACTGAGAATTGATTACCATCGATTAGAAAAAATCAATGGTATCAATTTTTTTATTAATTGATTGCCAACCAAAATTGATTACCATTAATTTTTGATCAGCGATTGATTGATATCAATAATAGATACTAATTAATGTTAATTTTGATTATTGATCATTAATTATATTTACTAATTAATGATGATAATTGATTACAAATAATAATAATTGATTATTATCAATTTTTGATTGATAATTAATTGAGATCAATAATTAATATTAATTTGATATTAATTTGATTATTAATTATTAATTATATTTGCTAATTGATTGCCAATAATAATAATTGATTATTATCAATTTTTGATTGGCAATTGATTAATATTGTTGTGTAATGAATTTTAATTGAATATTTACTGGATCATTTATACTTAATATTATTGGATTATAAATATTTCATATCTTATTAAAAGAACATAATCACATAGAATAAGTGAGTAACTTAGTAAATGAATGAATGAACAAGTAAATAAACAAGCAAATGAGTGAATGAATAAACAAATATTGGACCAATACAATTTAAATAAACTAGTGAACATGAATTTATATATTTGTTAAATTTTAATTTAGATATATATAAAAGTAAAATAATTATTAAAATTATATTAAAAACAAGTTTTTGATAAGTAATATTCTCAATTATCATCTTATAACTAGTTATTATATATTTTGATTATTATACAAGCTAAATTTGTACTTTATATAGAGTAAATAGTCAAGCACAAACTTTTTTTATATTTCTTTTGACAAAGTATATTCTTGTTTCTTGTATAATTACTTTTATATGTTTGTTATAAGTGTTATATAGTTTTTAAATAAGATATTAGTTATTCAAATATATTTATTACAGATACTATATTATTTAGTAATTAATTCTAGATTTTTTGCATATATTTGTAATGAAATTTATTGAAGTTATATTTAAATAAAGAAATTATTATTATAATTTATAAATCTATCTTTGAATTATATTTGTTATAATATAAATATTATAATATCTATATATTTAACTTCAAAATTTTGAGAACATTTTCTAATTATTCATATTATTATATTAAAGAATATAATTATTATTAATCTTTAAATAATTTTGTCACTAATAGTTTTAATACTTATTTATATATAATCTAATAATTATAAACTATTATTAATACTTTGAATTATTGTTAAGATATTAGAAGTTCTCTTTGAATATTCTTTTAATCTTTATAAATATTTTTGAATATTTTAAAAATTAATCAAATTAATAACAAAAGTTTAATGCTCTCTTTGTAGATCAAATTCTCAAAAATATTATGAAGTTTAATTAATAAGAACAATTATTAGTATAAAATTTCTTTGTAAATTAAAATGTTATTATAAAAGATACTCTTATAAAGAAAATTATTAGTAAAAAAATTTTCTATAATTATATTTAAAAAATAAAGTTAATTTAAAAGAAATTTTTATTAGAAAATAACTCAAAGAAATTAAATAACAAATAATTAATATTATTAATAAAAACTATTTAGAAAATCCAACTACTGAATTAATTAACTAACTTAATATATTATTAAAATAACATTTTCAACAAAAAAACAAGAAATTCAAGTTTATATATATTATTTACAACAAAAAATTACAAATTTTATAATATAAAGAAAAGTTTATTAATAATAACAAATACTTTAAGAACAATTAGCTAAACTTCAAAAATTAGATAACCAAATTATAATTTAAAATGAGTTACTAATATAAATTATTAAATAAAATTCAAAAGATTAAGTAATTCAAATAATAGAAAAAGATAATAAAGAAGAAATATAAATAATTAATAATTTAATTAAATAATAATTAAATTAATAAATCTAATAAATACTATTCAAGTAGAAGTTAATATTGTTCTATCAACAAAAGAAGTATTCTTTGCAAAAATTATTAATTTTTATAGAGATATTCAAGATTTTATTGAATAATTACAAGATTTTGAAAGTATATATCAAGTTAATAATATATCTAATACTAGAAAAAAATAAAATATTTAAAAGATTCTACTAGAATATAATTAATTAACAAAAAATTATTAGTACAAACTAATCAATTTAATAAAATTTAAATAATAATAATAATCTAATTAATTTAATGACTTTTTTTATATGCTAATTCAGATAAAAATTTTGTACTTTGATAAAATCTATAAATGATAATAATAATTGAATTAATAAAAATAATTATTAACTGAAATAATAGAATAATGCTTAACTATTATTAGAAAATTATTTTATTATATTAATATAGATAATTTTATTTTAAATTAATAATATTTATTAAAGATTTAAAACTAAAAATTAAATTTTTTATCAGTTTAACTAGATTAACTATCTTAAATAATACTATTCATACTGCTTAATTATATTAATTAAGTTATAACAAATTGGATAATTAAATTTTATTAATATAATATCAAATATTATAAGTCTATTAGATATTTCAATATCTTAACAACCAGTTAAAAATAGTATAATTAATTCTTATAATAATTAGAAATCTTAATAATGAAACTAGAAAATTTAATAATCAAAATCAAATTAAAATAAATTAAATAACAAATATAATATCTTTTAAATCATTTAACAAGCAAATTTGCCTGCTAAAATTATTTTTATATATTTACTTCTAATTTTTATAAGCTTAATTTCTAATCAATTTAAAGTTATTAATATATAAAAAGAATTAGAAAATTCAGAAAGAGATAAATAAGAATTTGATTTATCAAGAAGATTTAATTCAATAGATTTTGATTTAGAAAATAAATTAGAATATAAAATAAAAGAAAAAATTTCAAATTAACTACTTCTTAAAATTAAAAAAACAAAATAATCAAATAATTCTAGATATTTAAGTAAATAAAAATTATATTCAACTTAAAGATCAATAACTTTTTCATTTAATTTTTAAAGAATTGAGAAAAAATAATATTATTAACATCAAAAAATAACTATTTAAAATATAATTAAAAATAAAATCTTTATTAATAATTCAAAATAATTTTTGAACTATTTTTTCAATTTATAACAAGTAAAAAAATTGACTTAACTAAAGAATAATAACAATAAATAAATTAATTATTAATTAAATATAGTAATTTATTTAATATAACAAGTTTTGAAAGAACTAATATTATTCAATATGAAATTAATATTAAAACAAATTACTAATAATACTAAAATTATATTATAAAAAATTATTATTAGAAAAAGATTTTATTAATACTAAAATTAATAAAATACTTAAACAAAATATTATTTTATCATTAAATAGTTCTTGATCAATACTTGTAGTTATAATAAAGAAAAAAATAAAAAATTTAGATTTTGTATAGTTTATAAATAACTTAACAAAGTAATAATAAAAGATCAATTTCTGTTATCTAAAATTAGTAATTTATTGAATATTTTTAATAAAGCAAAATATTTTATAATTCTTAATCTCACTTATGAATATTGGTATATAGAAATAAAATTAGAAGACTAAAAGAAAATTGTTTTTACAATTAGTAAAGATCTATATGAATTTAATATAATATTCTTTGAACTTACAAATGAATTAATAATATTTCAACAATTAATAAAATATTTAGATCTTATATTAATAAATTTTTAGTTATTTATCTTGATAATATTAATATATTTCAAAAACTTTTGAAAATACTTACAGTATTTGAGAATTGTTTTTGATATAATTTGAAAAAGTAAATTAAAATTATATTCTAAAAAGTATTATTTTGAAAAAACTTTATTAGTTTTTCTTGAATTTATTATTAAAAAAGAAAAAATATAATTTGATTCTACTAAAATATTAATAATACAAAACTTTTTCAATATTAACTAATTTGATAATGATATAAGAATTTCTTGAACTAACTTCTTATTATTAATACTTTATTAAAGATTTTGCAAAAATTGCTGCATTATTATATTAATATATAAGAAAAAATAATCTTTTGCATGAAATAAAGATTGTTAAAAAGTTTTTGAAAAACTAAAATAATATTTAATCTCATTACTAATCTTGATTTATCCAAATTTTGAAAAGCTATTTCTTTTATATACTAATGCATCTAGTTTTGAATTAGGTGCTATTTTTGTACAAGAAGACAATAACAAAAGAAAATATGTAGTTGCTTATACTAGTAGAAAAACTAGTATATATAAATGAAATTACTGCACTATTAAATTAGAATGTTTAGATATTATATGGATCATTCAACACTTTAGATCTTATTTATAATTAAATATTCTATTTACTGTTATTACTAACTATAGTGCTTTGAAAACTCTATTCAATAAACTAAAACTTTTTAATAAATTAATTCACTAAATTATAACTTTTATATTTTTGACATAAAATATTATAAAAAATGCTTATACTCAAATGTAAACTCACTCTCTTGATATTTTCAGCCAGATCCAACTTAAAAGTAAATAACAACAAGATAAATTATTTATTATACAAAACAATATAGATATTCAATATAGATCAAAGCAAGAAAGAAATATGATATTCCAGTATTAAGTGCATAATTCTTTTCTATAAATAAATACAAATTATTAATCATAATACATGTAATTGTTTAGTGAAATGAACAATTAAAAATCAGTAGTACATGTCGTAATCTAACATTTTCGCCTGTAGAATCTGAAACTACACTAATTTTATTGATATCCTTTGTAACCAAATCTTCAATATATTGTTCAGTAATGTATTTATATTAATAGCACGATTTTTGCTAAACTAATATCTTCTACATTCCACACAAATATCTTGCCTTTGGAAGTAATAAGTATAGTTCTCATTAACTTTTGTTTAATTATATTCTTCCATTCGTCAAATGCTAATGTAACACCAATATTGTCATCTTTTTTCATATTTTCAAATTCATCTTTCGTAATCATTACTTCTTTTTTAGAATCAGTTCACTCAATTATCAACTTGAAGGTAATTCGATTGCAGGATTGGTAAGTTTAAAAGCTGTCACAATATCACCATCTTTTACCCATCTGAATAACAATTCATTAAGTACTGTATCTCAAAGTACTATAAAGTTCCATGAATAAGCAATCCCTGTGAATAAGCAACCCCTCTCTTAGGTTTAAAAATCTTAGAAAAGTTGAATAAGCAACCCCTTTTTATATACTAAAATAAAAAATTTATTATATATTTATTCATCTAATTCTAAACTTCAGCAAAAATATAACTACTTTATCACATTCATAGTGATCAGAATTATCAGCTTCAATAAAGGTAAATTAGCGACGTGATCGAAACCTATAATAGATACGTATATATATGCACAGTGAATAATTTAATTGTTGGACCAATAGGTATTAAGTATTCAGAAAGTTCCGTGAATAAGCAACCCCTTAAAAAACTGATCTCGAATTGATGACGTAGGGGGTTGCTTATTCACGGAACTGTTGTTGAACTTTATCAGACAGTGGATATATTTTGAGATGCTATTAAAGTAAATAATATTTCAATAATAATTTTCAATTAAAAATTCATTTGATTCATTAACAGATTCTTTGTTAGGCTGTTGAGAATCTCCTCCAACTCTTCTTTTGTATATTTGGCTGCAAAGTACAGACAAGTTCTTATTTTAACATAAATTTGTTTTGTTGGTAAGATTTTTTGCCTCGACGCCTAAAGCTTCTTGACATGCGCAACATAGCTACTTTATTGTTCTTATTTGCCAACTTATCAAGTATTTCAAAGTAAATAGACCACTTGTGACGGTGACGTTCCATTGTAAAGAAGTATGCATATTGGAAAATTTTATAATTATGTACATGAGAATAAATATTGTAATACAATCTAATTTAGCACGTGCTATTTAAAAAGTATTATTTTGTCATTTTCTTTGTCATTATAAAACTAATTTTTATGACTTGTCATTTTGCCAACTTACAAACATAATGTCATTTATTGTCATTTGCATAAAAATTTTTATGACTGTCTTTGTCAACACTGAATTAGCACAACACGAGCAGTTATCGAATCTTGTTGGGACATTGCTGAATTTAGTGTGTAAAATCTAAAGAATAAACGAAATATACGTGTTTCAAAATACCGTTGTTTTTGTTTTAAATCTATCTTATCGTAATACGTATTTTATTCAATAATACTAAAAAACATGTATTATTTTATTTAATAATACTGGAAAACGGTGGTCATGCGAACAAAACAAAACAAACTTGGTGAAGCTTTTTTTATCTGGGATTAACGCGCGTATTAATGTACAAACACCAATTGAGAAAAAGTTAATTTTGTAAATATCAATAGAGATTTGTTTATTTTTTATTAATTAACGTTAATACATTGAGACGAAAAATATAACGATAGTAGATATATCCTAGTTCAATCTAATACATGTAATATCATCCAATAGAACATTTTATTTTTGTTAACGTCAATGTATCGATACGTACGTATAGTTACCCAGATCACCTGACTTTTATTAATGGTCCCAAATGGAATAATTGTATAAGAACAAAAGAGCAATTTTGTTTGTAGATCTGGAAAATCGGATCAAATCAATCTCGACTTTTTGACAGAAATTTTGATGATCTCAAGTACGTATATTGTACTGTATATTGGCAAAATGGTAACATTATTTGCATTACTTACTATAAAAACATTGAAAAGGATGAAAAAGAAAAAGATCACACATGCTTCTCTTAGGAAAGGTTGCTCCGTTACTAAAATTTAGGAAAGTTACTCGCTAATTTTACATCAATTTTACGTTGATGACAAAGATTCAGCCTTTCTGGGTGCTGTGTGTCATAATGCCAAGAATTACCCCCTGAAAACTAATTTAATTGTTTAAATATCAATCCATCTGCAATAGCAGAGATAACAACAGAAATGGCCAAATTAAAAATAAATATCGATATGTTAATATTATCACGATTTTTAAGGAAAAATCTACAACATCGCATAACCACATATAAATTTCCTTTTGCCACCTTGCTTTTTGCTTTATGTACAGATTTAATAACACGCAGTTGCATGTTATTCTTTTATATGAAATATTCAAATTTCCATTTTTAGTTGTTTTGTGCAAGCAAGATATATTATGTCATCGGCTAATGTATGTTTGCAGTTAACGAGTAAATAGAATAATAATTAGGAATTTTCGAAGATAAATTGTGGAAAACCATTGTTAAAAAATATTTCTATCATGTCTAGATCTTTATAGATAAAGGAAGCTTTGTTATTTGACTAAATCTGATTTGAATTTTTAATTGATGTACTAGTAACTGTCTATATATGACGTTTTCACGTCGCTTATAAATTGCTATTTATTGTTTGCGTAATTGAGCCCTTTTTGCGAATTCATATTTTAATTAAATGAACAAATCATGACAATCATTTACAAAATTACATGTATTTTCGAAAAATTCATCTGGTCTTGTTACATCTTACGTACTTGATTTCTTTAAGAATTTAAAAATTCGGAGTTTATTGATCGCTGCGCACGTTTCAAAATTTAATTTTATATTTTAAAAAAAGATTTATCTAAAGAAATTCTTAATAGAGCAGCACTCACAGCTTGGGTTGTGCATGTTTTTGATCGAGTGTGTTTTACGATAAAATAAATTGATGTGCATCGTACCTTTGAACCAAGAAAATTATGACGTGTTCTATGAAATAATTATACGTACAAAAAAAGCAAACAAATAGTCAAAATATTCCATAGGAATCAGCATTCATTATAAAGCTCGGGTTTTAACTTTTAAATGATGGATAAAGTGTAGCTGCCTCTTAAAAATATGATATTACTGTATTTGTTTTTCACTTTATTTGGTCGATAAATAATAAGTGTAAAAGTAGAATAAGTGAAAAATAAAATTACGAAATGAAAAGCCGGAATTACCGTTCCAAAAAATATATATAAATTCATAATATTTGCTGTCTAAAATTCCAAGCTCATATTAAAAATTTAAATACGATTCGTTTTAATGATATCTTTGGACAATCAAGAATTTTATAATGTGCTTTCCACTGTCACTGATAGATCATTGCAAGAACCTCAAAATTTTTATGTTGAATGGCCACCTGAGTTTGATTTTGAAGTTCTCTTTAAAAACCGAAAGAGAAATAAAACCCCAAATGATTTCATTCTTTTTCGTACCAAATATTTAGAAGGTCTCCAGCGATGCGGGGTTAATCGTAAGATGACTATCGTAAGTAAAATGGCTTCAGCAGCTTGGAAAAAGCTATCTGAAGATAGGAGAAACAAATATAAATCCATATCGTATAAGGCAAGTCTTTACTGGGCCAAATGGGATCCAAAACGAAGTAAAAGATCCGGTATTAAAAAGTTAAGCCATAAACTAAATAAAAGACCCAACGCTAAAAATCAAAGCGATCATGAGCAAGAACCTCAGCAGCATGAACCTCAGGAACAAAAATCTCAAGAGCAAGAACCTCATGAGCAGCAAAAACCTCGGCAACAGGCTGCAGATACGGCCCCAGATAGTTTAAATATTTCAAAATTTTTCGTAGATTTTACTGATGCAAATTTTGAAACTACTTCTATTTTTCTTGAATGATCAAACTATTCAGAATTATTAAAATTTTGAAAGTTCTACTAGTTTTTCTGAAGTTCTACTAGTTTCTTGAGAAAATTTTACTATTTTTCTTAATTAAGCACCTGCAACTAAGCATTAAAGAAATAAGTATCTATGCTATATGAATATCCCTTATTATATGAAATATCCCTTATTATATGAAATGTCCCTTTTTAAATGAAATGTCCCTTATTATATGAAATATCCCCTATATGAAATATCCCTTATTATATGTACATTTTCAATACCAAAAATTTACCACCTTTTTAGAGAGGCAATCTATTATTTTATCAAATATTTAGGCTTTGATTTATAATTATTCGATTGAAATAGTTTTTAAGTACTTGTTACAGAGTCTTATTAGCTTGGATTTTGATACATATTGAGTCTCTTATGTATCTAAGTTTTTAACATAATTTGGACATTTTATTGAAAATGTCAAGCATCAAATAAAAATTTTCAGACTTATCGATAAAATCTATGGATATTCCCTCATTAAGCAACTCATTGAACGCCTAAAAGTAATTGTCAAATTAAATGCATTAGGTTAGATATTATTCATTAAAAATTTTTTAAAACAGAATCATGCTTAATGTTCGATATAAAAAGCCAATATTGATATTGTCGATACGGTAACGAAATAGTAACTATATCTATGAGAAATCGTCTTAAGCTTTGAAATGTAGCATTCCCTGTAAAAAAAATAATCAGTCAAAATCCGGTTTTTTTAGTTCCGGAAAACCACAGGTTTAGTTATAAAATTTCCGGATTAAAATCAGATTAAAATCGGAAAGAATGGGGGACGAGATATCGCGTCCCCCATTTTTTTGCTCAAAATTAAAATGAATGCGTTATTTCCAACACACCATCATTAAATTCACCTAGTTTAATGGTAGCAATTTTTGCAAAAATGGTCTGATAATTCTTAAGATATCATGTTTCAAAGTTGCCGATTTTTTGAAAAGAAACTTATTTTAATTTGGAACACTTAATTTGAAGCATGATATCTCATGACCACCTGGCCAAATTCCAGCAAGTATATAGCTTTATTTCATCCAATTGGGTTTAGTGAGTCATGAGTAGGAGTGCAAACATTTCTCAGGTCAAGGGTAGCTACGAGTACCCTAGCCATGGCGAAAAAAGCGTTCAGATCACGTGGTAACCAATAAGAATCGTGATCAACCCGGCAAAACAAATCCGACACAAGAAAAACGAATGGGTAAACCTGGCTTGAAGCACTAATAAAAAATGTCGGGAAGGCAATTTTATATATATGCTTTTCTCAACTCCTAACCTTAACCTTAATTCTAACGCTAAAACTAATCTTTAATATCCTCAGCCAATCAAAACTTCGGGTGAAAATTAGTAAATGTTAACTGCACACCCCCCCCCCCCCGGGGGGATTTTTGCCTGATGCATAACAATATACGTTAAAATACGCTCACCTCTACTAAGTTAAAAAGAAATAAAAAATTTAATTTTTAATATTTATTGGCCATTCAGACTATCAATATATGCAATTATTCTATGCTTAAATTTGAGGTATAATACCCATTTCTCTTTTAATGCAATTTCAAGCTCTTCTAATCTTTCTAATTCACCTGGAAAATTGTGAAGTCTGCCGATTATTATTATCAAACCATTACAAAATCACAATGAAAAGTACTTGAATTTCTCCATCAAAAAGAAATCTAACGGTGCAATCTAATTTAATTATTTACTATGAAGAAGTTTAGGAACTAGCGGAAATCTTAAAGCGACACTTAATTGCTTTCAACTTCCGCAAAGAATGGACACGCTAGAACCTATTATAAATGTATGGAGACCATAATTATATAATTTTTTAATTCAACTTGGTGACGCAATGTGACTTTACGTATACGTACATGTATTTGGGTTATGTTGCAAACGAATACTAAATTTGGATGATATCAAATTGTACGACGGCGGCAACATAAATTCAAAAAAAAATAAGTTAGAAAGAGGGAATTGTAAGAGGAGAAGGTTCTGGAGGAACTATCAGCATTGTATTCCTTGCAGAAAACACATTTTTTTCAAAAGCATTTATGAATGAAGCACATTCATAATTGGAATTGTAATAAGAATAAACATAATTGACTTTAGTTTTATTAATAGAAATTTGCCACATATAAACTTCGAACTAATTGTTAGTCGGCAGTCAGTGTTAGGGCGCAATTATGGAATTTAAGGCATAGCGATAGTTATGTCACGTACATGTATTTTGTTGTCGTGTCGTGTCCGAAATTGTTTCACCGTCTCTCTCAATTTGAATAACAATATTTTTCGTAATTATTTAAATATTTTCGGTTATTTTAGAAATAGTATTTCAGTGTGTAACGGATATTTCCATATGTAATTTCATTCATTCGATACGTATATTTATCTGTTATAGTTATTTTTAAAACTTTGACGCAGATTCAAAGAAATTCATTTACACACATTTTCATTATACGAATTTCTCTATTTTTAGTATGAAACCTATACATTCGTTAATAAACAAACTTTTTCCTACACCAATAAATTATATATTGTCGCTAATCTTTTAATATTTTGTCGTGCTACCTCTGCATCGATTACTGCTCGAATTCGGTACAACTTTCAGCATGCTTGTTGACGAGTTATATTTGGGACGCGATATCTCGACATTCAATGGCCCGATTCAAACGACCTTATCACTGTTCGGTTCGCCTTGACAAGATCGCTTGAATCGGACCACTGGACATCCAAATATTGCTCCAAAGTGACCGATTCGTTTTTTGGCATTGATCAATTGCCTTAACGTTAACGACTATATGTAATTTTCTGGTGTATGAAACGGTTTCTTAGTAAGTGTATTGGTCTCATAGAAATTCGCATATTTGAGAGCCGCACACGTCTACAAAAAATTTGGACAACATCCTTGGTTGCATGCATTTGCCGCGGGACCTCATTGGAGGTGGTAATAATGGTGGATTCAATGTTATATATAAATCACTGCTTTCACGAAAACTCAGGAAAATGTCATCTGTTAAAGAACTTGTGAAAAGTAGATGCGGCATTCGCATCCATCCGGCAATTTTATTATGTTGTAACGGAAGCAATTTTTTGCTTTAATCTAGAGCGAATTCAATAACAGAGACGTAAAATTCATTCGATATACTCGTTTTCAGACATTTCACTGATATGGTTCAGTTGTCTGCATTGGGCATTTATCGTGTGATTTCTAGTTTTCAAGAGGAGGTCCCCATTTCTGTTTATCTTGAATGTTTTAGTTTCGCATTCACCGTTCACAATTTGGTGTTTCGACATCACGCGTGTTTTCTGAGTTACCACATGATGGTGAAATTGCTCCCGATCATCATCAATCAACTTTTCCCGTGCACTTATCGTTGTTTAATTCTGCGTTGCCGCCATCTACGCCAAATTCTTTCGGATTTAGAAATCGCACATCACCAATAAAATCAACTGAGAATTTTCAGTTATCTGACATTAGAGTTTACAAGTTTCGTCAGAAATTAGCTACTTTAAGTTCGCCCGACGACAACGATTATAATACTAGTAATTATTATGATAATTATGCTTCTGGCAGCAGTAGCAGCAATAATTACTATCACATTGAATCTATTGAATCTCCACCAAAAGCAGAGTTAAAAAATCGAGATTCTGAAAATGTAAATGATTAATCATGACAACAGCGACGTACCTAATCATATAAATTAAGTAACCCAAACATGTATCATAACGATAACGGCAAAAAAATTTATATAAACATAAAGATCGATCATCGATAATAAGCTATCGCTATATACTTTTATCATCGTAAATTATTCCTTAATTAGGAATTAAGAAGTTGTTGAAGCGAATTGTATACACACGAGATATGGAATATGTTTAGAAAAGACTGCCTCATAATGACGAAAACGATTCACTTCATGTTATGAATGAATCTTGTTTTATTATCAAATCAATGAACATAATTCTTAGTAAGGTAAAATGTCATCTTCAAGTTGTTCGTTATTCGTCTAACGCTAATATCGATATACACTTGATTGTCGCTAATCACAATACGTATAATACACTTGATTGTTAACTATTTTATTCGTTTTAGGTAAAGGATTTCAATATCTTGATAGCGATAGTGTAATATGACTCTATAACCGCTTTTTAAAGTGATTTGACTACGTATAATAATAATGTATAAGAAAGTTATTTGTGTTTAGTTTATGTTCGAATATAAAGTAGAATTCTTGACGTGTTTGACGTGAGTGCTTTTTTGCATTCATTACCATTACACTCATTTTATTATCTTTTCTTGTCTCTAAAAAGTGTACGTAAACTTTTGAGTATCCTCTGTATTATGAAACAATAATCAATGGACTTCTTACTGTCGTTGTATTTATATAACATGAATTGAATCTTTATTATACCAATTTAAAAGATCTATCAAAGATCTCTTTAACATGATGTAAATTCTAAATCTACAAATGAATGCTTCAATGCTCGAATTGCTTGTATACAAAATAATTGAATGGATGCTAAAAAATGTATAAATGCTAGTGAAATTGTATGATAAATGAAATTATGTGTAAATGCTAAATATGATGCAAAGTGTAGTGAGTATGATGCAAATGATTTCTATAGTTTAATATGTAAAATTCGATCAAGAACGTTTAATCATCTTTCTCAAAACATTCAAAAATTTCTTGACTTCGATCTTTTCCACTCGTTCTTCGTCCTCCGATCCACTTGAAGACGAGGAGTCATCACTCTTTTGTTTGGCAATCTCAATTTCTGTTTGGACACGCTTAATCGCTTCCTCAATATCTTCCTCTACGAAAGAGTCGCCAAAGAATTTTAAAAAGCTCTCCGATAAGTAGATGTCACCTTCTTGCTCGTATTCTTGAGCGAAAAAGTCGGTGCTACTGCTTTCATTTAAAGGCGTGGTTTTTGTAGAGCGGCCCAATGCTTTAAGAGTTTCGTAGATGATATTTTTGGATTTTTGGTTAGACATTTTGTTATATTGGAGATTGAAATTTGTTTATTTTTGTTGGTGTTTCTTTTTTAGTTTTTTTGTTTTGATTGATTGATGAAAATTGAAAGCTGCCTTCCAGGCCTATTTGTACTTTTTTTTCACTCATATTAATAATGTACACACCACTTCTCTGTCCTAATTTACTTGGCTCTTTACCACAAAGAATATTCATAACGTCGGCGACTATGCGATCAATTTACCATGTTCCACATGCATGTTCATTGTTAATGCTACCTCTCTTAATAATCGAAAAGACAACAACAAAACATGTGTGTGCAACAGTTGTAATTTTAACACGGAAAGAGTAACCCAAATCAACCAATCATCCAAAAATACTTACTAAAAAAAGAAAACAGGATAAACTGCAGAAAAAGGAGTCGTATCTTTTTCTTTTTATTTCTCATGTGTTTTACTAAACTTCGAGGTAACCTTTTTTATTTTTAATTGAATTTAAAAGAAAAAATTAATTTTGTTGTTGTTTTATTAAACTTTACTCCCAAAAAGATTTAAAGTTTACATTCTATAAACTAATTAAAGAAGGGATCCGTTGCTTATTATTCTGGTAACGGTAAGCATTAAAATTTCCTTGTTTATAGAATTATCCTAACATGTTAATGTCTCACATAAATTTTCATTACCCTTCTAAATGCAACAAGGATATACATGTGGATGTTATGCGAGAATCTTTTGTGTACGTGTGACTTGGGTGTTAAAAGAACCCAACAAAAAAATTATCAACAAAGAAATGGTAAAATGGTTTGTGGTTTCACTTTTTCGGTTTTCCGGCATTTTTATTCACACTTTACTTCCCGAAAAAAAATACCCATTTACATGTAGATGATAGTGCAACATGTGTACGTACGTATATTTAACAAAGATTGTACGCGATTTTTGTTTCACCCTTTTCCTGATTGTTGGGTGGGTACATGTACGTAGTATTCTTCGGCAACAAAGACTTGTTTTCGCGAATCGACCAAGTTACACATACGTTGTACTACATGTATAACTAATAATAACGATAAAAATAATTTTTAAGTCATACTGTTTAACACAAAGAACCGGTACATGTACACTCCTGAAAACTTTATTTTCTGCACAACGAATAATTCGAAATTCATATCGTTATTATTAATGCTAACGCTAAAAGATTGGCTTTGAGGTTAAATTGTTTTACGGGTTATGCAGTGCTATATACGGTGATAGTTTTTGAAATAATTCACGTTTAACTTTCAATTTTCACATTAACGAGGTATGTAAACTAGTGGTAACTTTTTTTTGATATTTTTTATTTGACGGTAAATGATTACGATTTCATTCAAATACTTAAAATCCGGGCGTGGTGGATTGAATAGAAATTAAACAATAATACAGTACAGTTTATGAAAGGGGGCGGGGATATGTTATATACAAGTTAGTGAATACGTATAATGCATATTAAATCTATATAATTTTTTGTGTTTGTCTGGTTTACATATTTGATCAGATGAACACGTCTATGATATTCTGGAAAATAAAAAAGAATGTAAAATAGAATGTAAAATAGAATGCAAAAATGAGTATATGTATATATAAATAAAATTCTATGTTGAATAATTAATGCAATGAATGGGGTTAATTATAATGAGACGACGGCGATGGTATGGGTAATATGAGACAAATGCAAGGGTAGTGAATTCTATAATCTGTACAAATAATAATTTTATGTTAAAGATGATAGCGTGGCTGGAATAATTACAAAGATGAAAACACAAAGTCTTAGAAAATTTTGAATCTCATGAGGAGTTGAGGTTGTTATATTTTGAATTGAAGAAGAGTGTTCTTTTTGTGACATTGTCAATGATCCTTCCTCGAGTCATTGTTCGTTACATATTTTTCCAGATTCATCAAGTTCAACTACTGTCAATTCCCATTTATTACTTTCCGGTTCGCTTCCTGCTATGATTGTTTCCAACTTTGCTTCTCGAGTCAACGGATTGTCACTAACAAAACTCATTTCAATATCCACGGTGTTATCAACTTTTATCACAGCTGGTTTAAAAGATGCTCTTTTTGGAGTAGATGGCGATCTAGGATTTGTAACCTGCGAGAGTATCGGAGCCGTAGAACTACTAGTTGATGTAATAGATGATGTCTGGCCAGTGGCTTTTTGATAAATACGTTTAGCGAGAACATACTGACACACGGCAATCAATGGTTGTGCACCGGCGATATACCAATTTATCGACAAGAAAATACTAATATTGTTAATTGAACCAATAATTTGTCTATGTGCCAGACCCCAAACTAGCCACCACGGACCAGAGAAGCATGCCAACCCTGATAAATAAGCCATCGTGTACTTTAGACGATGCAACGCTTTACGAGTTGGGTTACCACCGGAACTATAGAATCCGGATCCATTGGTCTCGAATATTTTTATTGTGCTTTTAAGAACGACTGCAAAGTTTAGACCGTAGTACGCGGCAATAACTGCAAAACTCATATCGAATATGAAGTCGGCGATATATTGAGCTGCAGTGTATCTACTTGCAATGTCAATATTGTGTCGATCTTTTTCGATTCCGGAGAAAACAGCACACGGTAATGCAATAAGCGATGGCCATAGACACCAAATTGCCATGCAAACGTTTAGTTGTTTGGGAGTGGGAATGAATAATTTGTGTGTGGTGAGATTAAATGCGCTTTTCTTGTCGCCGGCTACTCCATTACCGAGCGAGACTATGCCTGCGGTCCCGTTTGTGTAGCTGACTGGTATAGTATATATTATGCCTTTTGAATAAAAAAATATATTAATATTTATATTTCACTGACTGATTCTTGATTCATAATAGGATTCAAACTCACCAACAAGATAAGTCACAGCACCGTAACTTAGGAATGTCCACGCTATTTCCTGAACAAATTCACGTTGCCAGTAAGCTGTGTATATGTCAATAATCATAAACAAACAATGGAGTGCTCGAAGATATGCGGCAAGTGTAAAGAATAGCAAGAGACAATCAACGGGTAATGGTCGAATACCGACACCCCCGTGATCTACAAATAATCCTTGCCACATGTATCGGTATCGATAACCAAAGATAAATGTGCCAGAGAACGCTAGCAAAGCGAAAGAAATCAAGGAAAAGTAAACTTCCATTATCCAAAATGTCGAATTTTCGCAATTGTAGATTTCTATTCTCCAATCACAATAATTTGGTGTTGTCTCTGTTGAATTCATGGTTTTTTCTCTTTGTTTTTAAAGATGAATAATATTTGAAAGTATATCTAGCCTTTTTATATTCAAAAATGGTAATTGTAAAATGTAAGAAGAGGATCCTTTACGAAATTATAATTATATACGAATATTAATGATATATAAAAAATAAAGGAAATAAAGGTGAAGGGGGAAACTCTTCTGATACCGGATAAAGAAAAGATAAAACTCGAAAGGCGCGAGGTTTATATTTATTTTTGATCCCTATTCATTGTTAAATCTTTACCAATCGTAACAGCATATGCAGTCGATCTCATTTGTCACTAGATAAAACCAAATTTTTCTTTCTTGTTTTTTTCTTTATCGTTATTCTTGAATGTTAACGGCAATATTACACAAAATTATTATGGAAAAAATGGCCAAGTTATGTGCATTGAGGCATGTCTAAAAAAAATCTTTGTCGACTTCAAACCCGATACCCTTGTTTTCCCAAAACAGGAGAAAATCAGCGTGTGATATGTTGTTCATCATGTCGAGACACTTGTTTGCCAAATTCAGCGGATATGACGAGAAAAATGTGACGATGTTTAATTCTTGATCTACACTGATCATGTGTAATTTCAAATTAACTGTACGTATCAATGAATGAATCAATGACTTGATATCGATAGACACAAGAATTTTTCGATATTATAAATGCTAAGGAAAAAGAACAATAAGGATAAATAAAGAACCTTGGTTTTTTTTTAGTGCAGATTGCGTGTGCAACGAGTGACTTGTGCATGGGTGGCTTTCTTCGATCAGCAGACATTATTATTTGCTCCTCTATGAGAAAAATATTCAATAGAGGAGTATTTAAATTGTTTATCGAAGGACCAATCAAAAATACAAAGACATAAATTCCTTTTTTCTTGAACCATAGGCTATGATCAAACAATTTAGATACTCGTCTGTTACTTGTTAAACAACTGTTATAAAGTAAAAGCGTAATTAACATAATCTGCCAGGAAAAGTTAAATATCTTTTATTAATAATTTTAAGGTTTATTTTTAGGGTGTTCATATATTATTATAATAACAATTACATCTGAACTAAATTATTGGTTGTAAAATCAGTTACAATGCGCGATTCATTTAGTTAAATATAAGAAAAGAGAAATTTAATATGATTGTTAAATTTCTGGTTGCAGTGACATCGAAAAATAGAGCTTTCATTGCATATTTTCATGCTATAATATTGTACAAATAAAAAGTTAATTAATAGAGAGCAATTTTAGCAATGTCTACTGCGTAACTGAATACGTATTTGATAAATAACAATTATACTCATAAATTTACATAGTATTTGGCCATATAAATATTATTGCAAAATTAATTTTTAAGTTATATATTTTATGCATTTATTATTATTTTCAAAATATTGCTCTTTTATTATAAGAAGTTATCGATAATTCTGGTCAAATGATCCCATGATCTGCACAATTTTGTCCAAAATTTTCATCATAATCACCACAAACTTTAATCTCTAACAACGGATTTCAGCATCGTAACACAGTAACCTCTCTAAGTCGGTGCATTACGATTATCACAACTTACGAGAGAATTTCTATTAGTCACGATTTTTAGTTCATCCCAAAAACCTTTTTAGAGAAGTTTCGAGGTTTAATATCTTAATGTTGTACAACATCACGTTAATGACAATGATTCGCTAAATTTAGAAAGATCTATTTTTATTCTTACCCTTATTAAGATAATCTTTCACTAAATTTTCCTAAATTACATGTACATGTACTTCAAATTTTTCAACCAATGATAATTATATGTGTTTAAATAACTTGGCTGGTTCAGTACTCCTTGGCAATAAAAGAATTAGCTTCTTAACTTCTTCCAAGTGATTACGAGATGACCAGTTGCAAAATAAAAATAATAAAGAATATCAAACACATTGATTTTTTCACTTTTAAATTGAATTCTTGTAACAAGTATTGGCATTTTTTTCAAATTTGTTAAGACAGTCGTATCGAGATTGTGGATTTATGGGAACGGATTGCAGGATATGCTGTTCTAAATATTCTTCTATTGGTCTGCATTTTCACGTGTGTCTAACTTGTATTACCTTTTGGCAAAGGTTTTTCATACACATTTCAAGGTTTCTTCATAAAATAACTTTTGCTAAATGAAAATGTTTTAAGAAAACTTTGCAACGTCACATGTAGGATTTTACTTTCAGCAAAAAATTCGGCATGCTGCTCGCTCTGATACAAGTAAAATTATTGATAGTGGTAACCATGGTATCTGTGTATTGACACTACTGCCGAATAAAAGAAGTGTTAATATGGATTTTGTTACAATATTATATCTAATTATCTACAGTACTGTTTTTTTGTTCATTATATTTTTAGTTTTATTTGTGTATATTTTTATAAATTAATTTTTGTGTACTCTTTATTAAAGCAAAATGAGATTCAAAAAATTATCGATTTTTGATAATTTGAAAAATGTAAATAAAAAGAAATCTTTGTGTTCATATTGTATATATTGCTCGTTCATTTTAGTAAAAATAAAATATCATAATTCATTAAGACTATTCTACTTATTTTATTTCTAGCGCTAGTTCTAATGTAAATACAAAAAATGTGATAAATAAAGCTATTTATAAGCGAATATACAATTTGTTACAAATCAAAAGGTTATGATCCTATTGTTATGATAAAAAAGCAAAATGATTTTGGCAAAAACATTGAACTAAAAGAAATTTTTGATTTTTGATAAACTACTTCATTTTATTTAAATCATTATAAGATATATAGAATAAGAAATTAATGCATAAATAAAATTTCACAAATTTCTATTAAAATAAAAAACATGAATATACGTAAAGAAGTATTTTTAAAACGACCAAGTTAATGACATATTTAGAACACCGCATCAGCATACAAAATTTTATCGTTTAAAAACAATTTAACCACATGTTAACTTTGTAATTTTATTTGTATAATCTATATAAACATTCAATCTGCAAAAAAAAATTAAACACATAAACGACCAATAAATAAAATTAAAAACAATTCAAAATTATATTCAAATAAAATATCTCACCTGTCCGAGCGATAGTCCATAGTGGTTATTGAATTAGGATACAATGCTCGATGGTATGGCAATTCACGTTGATGAACGAGCTATTCATCGATTAGAAATAAAATTATACTAAGCAAAATATTACGCTTAATTTTAAAGTTCAATTACCTGTGACAACGGGACACCTTGAGGGTCAGGTTTATTATCGGATACATAAGTTTTCCCGATCACGGATTCATATCCATCTTTACACGTTTCGCCTTGCGGTATCACTATAGACAATACGAAGCTAACGAGGAGCAAAATGAAGAAAAGTTTTGCGGTGATTTTGGTATACATAAGTGCTTTTAAATATTAAAAAACGATTTTCTATTATTTGTTTTACGATAATTTGCTTCGTCTGTCTATATATACTTGAAGACTGATTCACTGTACATGTATCGGTATGTACGTATTCAAGTAAATACTGTACATGTTCTTATCGTTATGACATTTCTATCTATAGCGTTAGTACGTACTTAACGTTAATATTGATATGCATATAAATAATACGTACAGGTAAATGTACATGTACGTATTTGAAACAAAAGGTAAATCTAAAATACTCAGCCTCAATAATAATAACGATAAAAAATCTTTTTTATGCTACAGTGCAAGCGTGCCAATAAAAAAAATAATTTTTATGCAGAGCACCAATAACTCGCAAAGTTTATAATAGAGCTACAGTGCAGGACACTTAAAGACGCCAATAAAATTAGTCATCTTTAAAGCAAAGGATATTTATGCAAAGGTCATACAAAAAAAAGGGGCCGATATTTTGTAGCTAGACCTATTTACTACAAAATAGCGACCTCCTTTTTTTTGTATAATTTTTGTATAAATATCCTTTGCTTTAAAGATGACTAATTTTATTGGCGTCTTTCACTGTAGCATAATTAATGTGAATCATGAATCTTTATTTGAAAGTAAAATTATCTTTTTATAACAATACAATAATCTAGCTATTGTCATAAAATCATAATTTAATCATTTGTTAATTGGCTCTTGAAACATTAGTACATGTAAAAGGCAACAGGGCTAGACCTGCCTGTCTAATTCATTTGAAACTTCTACGCAGTATTGTTTATTTTGTCATACAGAAAATTTTTTCTAAATTTCAGAAATACGTACGTAGTACGTAGATTCTAACGATCAACTATTTTAAGCTTTGAATTTCGAAAATAAAAAATTGGTATATCGATATAAATAGATTTCATAGAATAAAAACATTTTTATTACGTAATTATTAAGAAAAAGTTTCTATAGCAGTAGATCAAAATTTACTAATTGAAAATTTAATTTAAATTATCATTTCAAATGACTAAAATAATCTATTATCGAAATATTTCTTGTGATTTTGAGGTTTAAAATGAATACTTGTTTATTTTGTTTAAATCAATATTGATAAAGATAAAAGATTTTTATTGTGTATTTTATTTCTTTCTAAGTTGCTATATATAAGTATTTTAATAGCTTTTTTTTCATTACAAATATCCAAAATTATTTTTTAAATATTTTGATTTTTGGAATCGTTATTATAGTATTCTTTAAATTCGATCAAGCTAAAACAAGTGCTGTGCTTTTTTGAAAAATGTTAAAGTGCAGAAAACCTATAAAATATCAACAAAAATATTTTAAAATACCACAAGTAACTACAGTGGCAATCAAAAATAATGCAACGACATCAAACTTTATTAATTAAACATAGTAAATTGAGGGATTTTCTCTTTTCAGATTTTTTAGATTTAATCTTATGAAGCTGTTCTAATTGCATATAAAGTCAATTATTTTTTTATAATTAAAGCATATAAAAAAATAATTGACTTTATATGCAATTAGAACAGCTTCATCAGATAAATCTAAAAAAATCTGAAAAGAGAAAATCCCTCAATTTACTATGTTTAATTAATAAATTTTGATGTCGTTGCATTATTTTTGATTGCCACTCCACTGTATCAATATAAGGAATCCACAATATAAAGTTATTTAATATAAGAAAGTCAACTTTATATAAAATATCTTGAAAAAATTTGTTGAATTCATAAATTTCTTATATTAATAGTCATTTGTAGTTTGTTAATATTATTCATAAAATAATTAACCCTATAAAAAATTGAATATGGTTTTTCTCCAGAAGAAACTGATTTTTTTTATTTACGGGTTTGTTCTGGGTTTAATAAACTGGTTTACATTATATCTTGAGAGTCAGTGATAAAAATATAAATAAACAAGAAAAATAGTGAGAAAATAAACAAAGTTTAATAAACTTATAAAAAAATTTTGATCAGAAAAAAACAAAAATTTATTTGAATTTTTTCATAAAAAAATTAAATATATATTTTTCTAATATTTTTCTAAACTATTAATTTTTATTTAAATTCTGAAAATTTACTAATTAATTTAATAAACTTCTTATTGGTTACATAATTTCAGGCAAATTTTCAGATTTTTCTGTTATATTTTTAGAATTAAGAACTTAATATTTATTTTTATAATAAATATATATTTTGTAATATTTTGTATTATATTTTGATATTTCTTAATAAGCTTAGTATATTTTTACAAGTTTGTTTATTAATTGTTAAATTAGCTTATAAACTTGAAACTAAATTAAAAGAAAAGATTAAACAATAAACAAAATATTAAAAAAAGAGATATCTAAGTTCTATACTAATTTCTATAAAAATTATAATAATTCAAAAATATAATAATAATATAAAAGAGTTATAGGAGAATAAAGATCAAAAAGAAAAAAGAAAAGATATAAAATAATAAGAAAATAAATAATAAAGAGAAGTTTAAGATACTAATTTTTTATACTTATATAAAGCTTTTCAGAACTAAGATAATATAATTAGTAATAATAATAATAAAGATTTTTTATTTTGTTCTTTTTATAAATAAGAAATACCATAATATCAAATTAAAAATAATAAAATTCAAAATAATACAAGTTAAAAATACTTAATTAAAATTAATAAATATAAAGTTAATAAAGTTAATAATAATATTTTGTTTAATATAATATAATTTAAAGTTACTTATATATAAGCTTTGATATATATAATTAGAAATAAAAAATGAATATTATTTGAAAAAAAATTCTTGTTAAGAGAGAATTTTTATTTTTAATAAATAATTATGTTAGAAGTTAAATAAAATTCAATATGAATTATAATATTAAGATTAAGATTAATTATTTATTAAAAGATTTTTTGAGTTAGACAAAAATATATTACAGTTTCATAAGAGTATATCCAATTTCAAAAATTTTGAAATCAAGAAGTATTTTGTTCAACAAGTGAAAAACAAAATAAATAATTTAAAAGAAGTTTAATAGTAATTATAAGTTTTATATTTTGGCTTTGAATATATTATTTGAAGTAATAATTAATAAATATTTAATATATAGACTTTATTTATTTAGAAATAAAAGATAAAAGAATATCAAGAAAAATTTTGAAAATTTAGAAAAAGAAAATTTTATTTTATAAAAAGAACATCAAAATATTACATATTTTTTACTAATAACAAAATTAAATATAAAAATAATAAAGAAAATATATTAATTTTACTAAAATTATATAATTTAAAAAAAATAAAATATATATATAATAAAATAATAGAATTTTAATATATATAGTATTTTAATTAATTATACTAAGTAAATAAATAAAAAATATAAAAGTAAAAAAATAAATAAGTCAAAAATAAATAATAACAAAATAAATTAATAATATAAAAATAAATAGATAATAACAAAATAAATTAATAATATAAAAATAAAAAGTATAAATATAAAATAATACAAGATAAATAAATAAATAAATATAATAATTAGTAATATAATATAATTAAAAGGTATTCTAAGTTTTATGAAATTAATAAATTTTATAATATAATTATAATAATATATTAATTAATAAATTAAAATTATAAAAATTACTAATTTATTAAAAATAAATTATAAAATATTTTGAATTATATATTTAAATATATATATAATTTTTTTAAAAAAAATAGAAAATTAATTAAAATTCTAAAAATACTAATTCTAGAATATAATAGAAAAAACTAAAAATCTATCAAAATTTTTGTAACTAAATTAGAGATTTATCAAATTAATTAGTAAATCTTTGAAAGTTAAAAAATTAATAGTTCAGAAAAATATCCAAATATTTTAAAAAAGAACGAATTATTTATTTTTTTGAAAATATAAAAAAATCCAGAAATTAATCTGAATATTTTCAGGAAAATACAGATTTTTCAATTTTTTCTAAAAAAAATCTGTATCTTTTTCTAAATTATTCCAGAGAATTTTTTATATGATTAACTATTATTCAAAATCAGATCCAAATTATGAATTATTAATTATTATATAAATTTGTTCCTAAATCATAAAAAATTATTTATATCAAATTTGAAATATGTATAATGCATAATACCTAAACTTCTATTTTATAAATTAATAAACTTTTATACTTAGAAGCAAATATAAAATTTAATCTTTGAATACATATAATTAAGAAAGGTCTATTCTATTATATTTACAGATTAAATATTGTATTCACTTCTTAGTAAAGAAGTTTATTGAATTTATAAAATATAATACATAGATACTATGCATCATAGAATTAATCAAATTGATATATTTCTTAATAAATATTTATTATTTAAACAAAAGAATATAATACAATAACAAGGCTATTTATAATGAATAAGCAGTTTGTTCAAATCAAAGAAGTTATGAGCAAATATTCAAATAAAATGATCTTATTATAATAGTATAATAAAAAGCAATAGCAATTGTAAATATATTAGAAATCGCTGGAGTTTCAATTTTATAATTGACATTCTAAAGATAAAAGCCAAATTGTTTGAAGGCAAATGAAACTAGTAATTAAAGATTTTGAACTGAAAACTATTTTTAATTGTGATAAACTGCATTTTATTTTTACTTAAAGCCAAATAAATCTTTGGAATTACTATTGTTAAATAAAGAATTTAAAGAAATATTTTTAAAAACGACTAAATAAAATAATGTAAATGAAATCATTAAAAGTTAACGCTAGGAGGTAAAGATACAAACTACATACGGATATTCAATAGATAGATGAATAAATATTTAAACACTGCATCATACAAAATTTCTAGCGTACAAAAAAAATTAACCGCATGATAATCTTATAATTTTATTTTCACTTTCATCATTTAGATGAACATTCAATCTATAAAAGCAAAATTAAACACAATAAACGACCAATAAATAAATTAAAAAATAATTCAAAATTATACCCAAATAAAACATCTCACCTAGACGGATCATAATTAAGAATAATAAAGGAATCAGGATAATATGCTCGATGGTTTTTAGGCAAGTCGCGTTGATGAACGAGCTATTCATCCAATTATAAACAAAATTATATTAAGCAAAATACTCCGCTTAATTTTCAACAATCTTTTATAAAAGTTCGATTACCTGATACGGCGGGACACCTTCAGGGTCCCGATCCTTATCAAATACATAAGTTTTCCCAATCAAATAGTCATATCCATATTTACATGCTTCGTCTTGCGATACCGGTGCAGACAATACGAAGCTAACGAGGAGCAAAATTAAAAAAAGGTTTGCAGTGATTTTGGTATACATAAGTATGTTTTAAATAATTAAAATACGTTTTTTGTTCTAGGATAATTATTTTCTTCGCTTTTCTGTCTTTATATACTTGAAAAATAGACTGATTTATCGTTATATTGATATGTATGTATCCAAGTAAATATTTATCTATCGCTATAGCGATAGCGATAGCGCGTTAGCACAGTAATTATACATGTCAATGACAATGACAAGAGTGATACCTATTTAAGTATGGTATGATTGAGCATTTTGGTATGGATTATGGTTAAGTATGAAGTCAGAGGATAGTCTATATATAATTTGATTTGATATATTAAGCATTTTGGTATATTTTTTTATCATACCATACCAAAATGATCAAACATACCATACCTAAATAGTGTATAATCAATGACAATTACCGTTAACGTTAACATTTGACGAAAAAGGTAATAATGATAGAAAATCCCTTCTTTTCTAAAAATACGGTTCTTATAGTTACGGTAACGGTAATCTAAATAAAATTATTTTTTATGCTACAGTGCAGGCAACCTAAAGAAAGTCAATAAAAAATACATGTACAGTGGAGGAACGCCAATAAAAAATTCTACAAGTTTGTTTTACATGTATTAAGATAAAAATTACGTTGCAATCATAGTATTCTTAGCAGCAAAAATTGTTACTTATTTTTAAATACGTGTAGATAGTTTTTATTGGCGTTATTTAGACTATATATAATAAATCACCAAATTTATAATAAAAATAGAACAATTAATGTGAATCATGAATCCTTATTGTTGAAAGTAAATTATCGCTATTGTCACGAAATCACAATCGAAATCAAAAATCAATCATTTGTTATTGGCTCTTGAGTCATTAATAATAGGCATGCTAAATAAAGTTTATTATTATTTGCTTGGTTACTGAAGACATCAAGCAATGCTGGAGGAATACCATTGTCAGGTAATTAACAAGTTAGATTTATTAAATCCTATGAACCTGAGACAAATACATAAGGTATATTCCTTAACAGATTTCACCATATTCAAAAGCACTTATGTTTATATGAAACTCATTACATATAAGTATCTTGATAATTGTAGACATTGTTCTTCAAACGTTCTTCAAACGAGTCGCGTAAATAAAAAGCAAGCACGTAAAGATCCACGGAATTGCAAGAAATGGCACAATATGATACGGGAAACGCGACAAATTCCGTATATATAAACACGGGTTTTTAGCACGGAACTACACGCAATGTTTATATATACGGAAATTGTCGCGTTTCCCGTGCTTGTGTGTGCATGCCATGCCATTTCGTACAATTCTGTGGATTTCACGTGTTTGTCTTTTTTTTATAGGGTTGTATTTAACGAGTTTTTTTTTATTAACGAGCTCGCTCTGTGCAAAATTCTAAGAAGTCCGGATCTCAATATTATTACAGATATGATCGGCGAGCGCCGGTAAAGTATAACAGCAGGACGTGGATTCCTTCATGATGAACTTAATAGTTATTTATAGTTTAATTGGCTTGTAATTTTGTTTTAGCACATGCAATCACTCGCTGGGAATTCAATGCGTATGTTACTCTTCGTAGAACAAGATTATTTGGTTGGAGGACGCTATAGCAAAACTGAAGAGGACAATTCAATTAGGTGACTACGTATTTGTCTCACTATTTTGATAATAAATTAAAATAAACTGAACACTATCCTTTCCGATGTTCTTTAATTTATAAAACATACAATATTCTAAACATGCATTATTTTAAGTAACAAATAAGCTATACATTATTATCTCAACATTTTAATAATTTCGTATTGAATATATTAATATTGTGACTCAAAAAATAGTTGCAATTTTTAATGACAACCCGAATTAACTTAATACTGGTCAGGATTATCCCAAAATTCCATAGAATTCATGCAAATTGTCAGCTCATAGAAGATTACTTCTTAGTCAGCTCTTTTTGAGGTAAAGCAGTCGGTTTACCAAATTTATTTCAATTGCGAGCTCACTTAATGTTAAGAATAATAAAAATAAATTATTTTTGTTTATTATAATTAATCTAAATGCTGCTGAGCTAGATTATTTAGAGACTTACTTTTATCATCGTATTAAAATAAGATTATATTTTTAACGAAATATACAGAAGTTTATAATTTAATGTGTCATCTAACAGATATTATAACGATAAGTGTGATTTACAAAAATCTTTTTTTTTAAGTTGCTTTATTAAATCTTAAAAATGATTTTTCCCATCTCCAGGATCATTAAAAGTTATGCCAAAATCTTTTGTCCAAAGCAGGATGTTGGTGTTATCGTTATCATCTAAAATGAAGCTTGCACATGAAAGACATGCAGATAGAGATGTTATGGTCCGAAAGATCAGACCGATCGGACGAGTTTCGGTTCAAAAAGACGAGTATTACGGTGTGAAAAAGTAACCTTTATTTTCTACCTTTTCTATCTTTTTTATCTTTACTTTTTATCTTTTTTATCTTTTTTACCTTTTCTATCTATTTTTTCTATTTTTTTTATATATCTTTTCTATAATTTTGTAATGTAGATAATATTGAAATATATTGAAAAATTTTGTATAAGTAGGTGTGCTATTTAACACACTCTCTCTTATACTTCAAACAAATTAATAAATTTTAATCTTTAATATAATAAGTTAATAATTATCTTATTATTATAAAATTAATATTTATTCTTGTATTTTCTTCCATTATCTAACAAAAATAATTTGTTAATTGAATTTCAAATCTTGTAATTCAAGTCACTTTTTATAAATCTTGAGTGAGATCAAGAAACTGAATATTAATTTGTATAAAATTGAATTTTTGACTATTATATTTTTGTTTTTAAATTTGGAAAAGACAATTAAAGTATTTTGGATAAGCATATTAATTTGCTATAATATTATTTTTGTATAGTTGTACACCACAACTTTAAATAAGTAATATTAAATTATATAATTGTGCATTACAACTCTAAATAAGTGATATTTCTTTTAGTAATTTATTTTCTTTGATATTGAAAGCACTAAAATATATGACTACAAGTATAAAAATATTAATACCTTCATTTTTAATTAGTAATCTTTATTAGTTAATTATCTCTTTGAATACACTCTTCTAACTCTTCTTTTTATCTTTTAATAGAATTATTTAACAATTTCTATTAAAATTGGTACAGACTTAGATACTTATTTTTATATTAATCAATTTTATTAGTCTATTTCTCTCTTTCAACTCATATAACTCTCTTATCAAAAATGAAAAAATCCTTCATTTAAAGTAACTATAACAATATGATATAGCTATATTTGATATTGATAAATTACTTAATAATAACTTATCTTACAAAGTATTATTCAAAAAAAATTTCACAAATTAATTATAATATATTAAATAATTCTATAACTATACTCATAGAATTGGATCATGTTGAACAATTTAAGAAAAACTTTATTTTCAATAATTTTAACAATAATAAAATCAAAGGTAGTTGTTATAAATATAATAAATTAGATTATTTCGCTAAGAATTGCTATTCAAAAGGCAAGACAAAAATAAATAATATTAAAAAAAATGCAAAATTTCTATAAAACAACAAAATAAAATAGTAAATTTTACTTATATTACTAACAATAAAAAAAGATTATTAAAATTTAATGGTTAGATTAATAAAAAAGATACTTAAATCTTGTTAAATAGTGATGTATCAAGAAATTTTATAAATAAAAAGTTTGTTCAAAAGAATTATATCAAAGCTAAAAAGATAAAACCAATTATAGTAAAATTAGCTAATAATAAAAAAATTACAAAAACTATAATTAATATTCAAAATTTGAAATTAATTATTTATAAAACTTCTGGAATCAATACTCAAATTCTTAATCTATAACACTATAATTTGATACATGGAAAATTATGATTATTTTATACTAATCTAACTATAAATTGGAAAAATAATATTCAGACTTTTAACTATAACAACAAATTTATTAAAGTCATAACAGATATTAATTCTAATTTATCTAATTTAATTTTATTTACATTTTTTATCTAATTGTTCAAATAATTTCTAAATAATTATAATAATAAGAGATTAATTATATTAAATAGAAGATATTGCTTATTACAGATAAGAGACCTTTTAAAAATCAAAAAATACAAATAAGAAAAAAAAGATAATTAATTCTTAACTAAAAATCTCTAATTCAAAACTTATAATATAACTCATTTCTAAGAAGATTTGTTAAAAGAAAATTATAATCAAAAGATTAATTATCTAATTGATAAAAATTAATAGTGTCACTGATTCAATATCATTAATAATTCAATATAAAAACACATGAATAGAAGACATAGTTATAAAAATTAGTCATAATGATATTTGGATTATGTAGTTAGCTTGATAATATTTTACTTCTTTCTATTTTTTTCTATTTTCTTCTTTTTCTTTCTTATATTATTTATTTTTCTATATTTATTTTATTGTTATCTTTATTTGAATATATTAATCATATCATTTTCTTGGCAAATTTATTATTTTTTATATTTAATTTAGCTTTTATTTTCTATTTTTGCTATAGTACTTAGATATAGAACAAGATTATTAATTATAATGTAGTTAAATTTTATGTAATTTAGAAAAAAACCAATAATTTTATAATATTAGCATAGATCTACTATATCAAATATTGCACTGCAACTGTATTATGCTATGTTATATTATACATTACTATTTCACACTATATTATTATAATATGAAAATATATATAAATATAAATATTGATAATTAATAAAAATCAAGTTCTTCAGTTCTAGTTTTAAGTTCTTAAGTCTTGATCTTGAGTTTCTTTTGGATTAATATCAAGTTTGACATGTTAAATTGATTTTATTTTGGAATTATAAGTAGTTTTTGGTTAAGTTTATCTTTTAATTTAGTCTTATTATTATCTTCTTTACCTTGTCAAGAAATATCATTTTATCATTATAAACATTATTCAATTATAAAATCTA